ATAATACGTATAGTTATATAAGCACCTTATATAATTAGCAGTTTAGCAGGTTATATTTCATATTATCTTTCCCCTCACTTTTCCCTACTAGAGGAAGCAACCTACTAACTATATAAGTAATAACAACTAGAGTCATCATAATATATTAATTCCCTTATTATTATCTATATAATTAAATACTTATAAATACTTAGGATTATTACCTTTTATTATAATATAAGCCTATCTATAACCCTATACTATATAGGCATATATACTACACCTCTAAATATACTTATACCTATACTAATAAGGTTAAATATAGTTAATAGTGAGTATATAGTGAAATTATAATAGAGTTAATATTAAGATATATTTAAGTAATAATAAGTAGTAATTTAGATAATATTTAGTTTATATTCTATATATATATACTAAACCTTATAGTCTATATAGGTAGAAGAGTTCTAGATATATTATCTATTTCTTATAGATATTAGTATATATATTATATATATTTAAAGTAAGGTTTAACTAACTTAGGTAGATAGATATAAGGTACTATATAGATATTATTCTTTTTATAGTAAGGTTAGTGGATAAGTTTATATAATACGGACTATAAGTTTTTCTGACCTTGCCACACCCCCCTAGCTACTTTTTAGACCCTCTGCCCTGCATAAAACCCGTTGACGGATAACCCATGCGGTGTTTTTGTGGTTCCACGCGGTCGAAATCCCATGCCCGTGTTCCAGATTTCCAGTTTGCTGGTGAAGATCCCCTGCTATAAGGAGAAATAGGGGTGAGATGGGTCTTTTTCTTCTTCCCGGGCAGCTGGGAAAGCCTGGAGGCTGGATGACGGAGAAGAGAGGGGCAATCTCGCGAGGGAAGAGACAGGGGTGTTTCTCGAATCGTCCTAGCCTCGGTCGGTACATCTTGGGCTCTTGGCTCCTGGGAAATCATCCTTCTTCTCCCTTATTTCTCCTTTCCCCTTGGCACCAACCGCATTTTCACTTATTCCATTCTGCCGTTCGCCTTGGCATGCGGGAACAGAATCGAACACGGACCCCAGTTGTTTGCTTGTTTGCTCCCTCGGAATGTGGAATGTTTGCTCTTCCCCATTCAGCCGCTCACCCGCTCATGGCTGCGTCGGGAACAGCCTGCACAGCACCAACGGCATGTTGCGATTGGCCCCCGTCCGCCGGATGTGACCGTCCATCACAACCTTTATTTGATGGGCACCTTATCTCCGTTGTCGTACGCAAGTGAGGGGGCGCCATCCGCCTTTACCAGCCCATCGATGGGGCGCGCGAATCGGAGGACCGCGGCAGGCCGAGTCTTGATGCTGTCATACCGTGGACCCTGTGGCTGCTCTTGTCACGCTTTCCAGCCACGTTTCTCTGCCCGCGGTGTTCTTCTCCCGCAATTCCACGCTCCTGTGTGACCCGGCTTCGTGACCACGCGTCTTTCGCGACCGGCGGTCCGGGGGGCTGCGAGCGGGCTTCCTGAGTGATGAACTGCTGCTCCCAATTTAGCCGCTCAGCAGCCAAGACCTCATTACCCCGCGAGGCCATCGCGACCCGAACGGTCTTTCGGTCGATTCTTAACACTATTCGTTCCCGTCCGTTGGCCTGGCATACATAAAGATGGGAGCTTGGACATCTTTCTTGTTGGTCGACAGGTTTTTGGAATGATTGCCTGCAACAGTTTCCCAACCCCTTCTCTTTACCCGACGCTCTCGCATAGCCAGTTGGTTGTATCGTGCCAATTGCATCGAACGAAAAGTCCTTGTTAATCGCTCAACAACCGTTGGTGGCTCAGTGTTTGCTTGCTCTTCTTCTTCTGCCTTGTCTTGTACCTCACACACCGATATTTCTTGTATTCGAACCCTGCAACACGCAGATTCCAGGAACCCAAACATCAGAACGTCGGGGGGTTGGTTCAAGGTTGTGTTGTTTGCGCTTTTCCCTTGCCTTACCACCAACACCCCGCGATGGCTGCGGCCGCAGCAGCTGCGCTACCGGTGGTTGATCTGCGCTCATTCGACTCGGTTGAGGAACTCGCGCAGGAGCTGATGCGCGTGGGCAAGGACCCCGGCTTCTTCTATGTCGTTGGTCACGGATTGGGTGACGGCGTCGCAGCGGACATGTTTGCCCTCGCGGAAACGTTCTTCGGCTCATCTCTGGAAGAGAAGTTGCGCTTCGCTAATGGGAGCGGTGACCTGGTGAGTTTTTGAGGTGTTGGTTGGTGGTCTGGAGTACCTGTGCAGGCGGGATGCGCGGACTGGGATGGATGCAAGCGGGCCATGCTTAAAAGTCACTGACCGGTGTTGTCTCGCTAGGGTTACACGGGAATGAGGGAAGAGACGTAGGTTGCATGATCTATCCCCCTTGTAGACCGCCATGTGCTGAGACGTTGCGTTGGAACAGGCTGTCTGGCGCAGGACCTGGAGATGTCAAGGAGTCGTTCTATCTGTCAGATCCCGGGCGGACGAATCAAATACTCCCCGCGCCATTGGAAGCTAGGCGAGAGAAGATGGCCGCCTTCTTCGCCGGCTGCGACGATTTGGCCAAGACTCTGTTGGAAGCACTGGCCGTCGGGTTGGGTGTGAGTTGGAACCAACTGATGGGAAAGGAATGCGCGCGATGCTGAACAGTTTGCGCAGATGCCCAGAGACTTCCTGTCCAAGGCCCACACCGGTGAAAGTTGTCGCATGCGACTCATCAACTATCCCCCAGTGTCCCAGCTCTCGTTCCCTGAATCCGCGCCGCCAGCCTCGCCGAAGCCTGATGACATCCGCGCGGGGGCGCACTCAGACTACGGCTCGCTTACGCTGCTCTTCCGTCAGGCGTCCGACCAAGGGGGGTTGCAGGTGCAACGGCACGGCGCATGGACGGATGTGCCGTGCCTTCCCGACGCCATTGTGGTTAACATCGGGGATGCGCTCGAGTTCTGGACTGCGGGGAGGTTGCGGTCGACGGTGCATCGGGTGGCGTTTCCGAGGTCTGCAAGCGAGAATGTGGGCAGGCTGAGTATACCTGTTTTCATACAGCCTGACCGCCATGTGCTGTTGGAACCGATCAAGGGAAGAGGACAGCCAGTCACAGATGAGAGCGTTATCGACCCGGAGTTCCTGGATGTTCTGAAGAGAAAGGGATACGAGAGCGCCAAGCCCGTCACGAGCTGGGAGCATCTCGAGAGGAGGATAAGGGCGACATACGGAAAGACATGAATGCAAGAGAATGGTGTGGGAAGGGCACAGCGCGTCACAGCAGTGTGGTTGACTTTCGAAGCGTTGGATTTGCAAAGAGGATACCCAATCCCGTAATATATTTACCCAAGCATTATGTACATATTTGCATGCTCCTCAATATATGCAGCAGCCATTGGCTCATTATACCGCACTGTTCACATGCCAGCTCAAGACTTTCTTGGATCGAATACGAGGTTGAGCGGTCCAACTGTCAATGTTCCAGTATCCTTGTTGTCCGCCAGAAACTTCTCCCCGGTCTGACCTTGCGCATATCGCAGGTTGTACTTGTGCACCACCGCACTGACTACGAAGCGAGTCTCAAGGAGGCCCAGCTGTTTGCCGATACAGACATCATGCCCTTTCTTTGGTTAGCCAGTTGACTCATGAACCAATATTTGCAAATGAGAACAGGTACCTGTAGAGAATGGAACGTATACCGCGGGGTTCTTGACAAGTTCTGGTCGGTCAGTCCAGCGCTCTGGGATGAACTCATCGGGGCTCTCGAAGAAGCGAGCATCTGCGTTAAATGACGGCTAGTATCACTTCACTCGTTTCTCAATAATTCATGGGTACCTACCTCGGTATTGTGTATACGAAGGCACGAACACAATTGTGTCCCCAGGAAGCCAGACATCGTCAACTTGCAGACCCTCAGGTGGCGTCATCCTCTGGACACCGGAGGGCACCGGTGGATGGAGGCGCAAAGACTCATCGATGCAAGCTTGGAGATATCGCAGCTTGGCCAAAGGCGCATGCTCCGGTCTGTCATGCTCACGGAAGTATGCGTCGACTTCCTCTTGTAGCTTCTTGTACTCCCGTGGATGACGTGCCAACTCCATGAAGAGGCAAGACAACACAGCAGCAACCGTATCACTACCATTATGTGTCAGTCATAGTAAATCTAGTCCATGTCAACAAATGCAGTGAGTAACAACATACCTCCCAGCAACGGTGATAAGGATGCAGTCGCCGTAAAGATTCAACATATCCTGGAAAGAATGATCCTTCCTCGACTCGTAGTCTTCAAGAACCCACGTGAAAATGTCCGGGCTCTCAGGCTTGTTCTGAATACGCTGCTGCACCTGCTGCGAAATCCAACCCTTAAACCTCCTCAGTTCGGCGTTCCACAGTGACATCTTGCGGTAAAGCGGCAATGCCCACATGGCGTGCGTGAAACGGCCCACGGCCAGTGTCTCGTTGTGCAGTCCGTCCATGTAAAAGTGCGCAACGCCGTCTTCGAGCATGCGGAAACCATGACCGAGAGAAAACTCGCCCATGACGTCGAAGCTGTAGAAGTTGAACCAGAGAGATGCGTTGAACCGGGTGCCCGCGCTCGCTTCGATGCCGGCGAGGAGTTGGTTGGTGTACTTGAGTACTCGGGGCTCGTAGTCGCGCAAAGCTGAAAAGATCAGTTCATGCTAAGCTGTGGTATCTGAGAAGCACAACCTTTAGAGGTAAAGCCATATTCCCATGCCTTTCGTCGTCGTGAGTGCGCCTCCTTGTCTCTGACCATTTGCATCGAGACCATAGGATGAAGGAGGTTGTACCACGGGCCCTTGTAACAGTCTGTCTCGAGAAATATAGCGTTGATGGCACCGGGCTTATTGATCGAAAGCTCAGTTGGGCCTAGGGAAGCTTGAGCATCACGCCGTTATGTGTGGACAAAGTAGTCTCTTACCAACTCTCACAACGTCTCCGTACCTTTCGTGAAGCTTCCTGACATCTTCATGAAGATGCATTCGATTCCAAATCCTGGCTGTGACATACAGGTTCGAAAATTTCGCAAGGAACGGACCGGTGAACCTGTGTAACCGATGGAAGAAGCCACGATACAACGTCATACTTGTGTAAATACCGAAAATGAGAGTTGCGAAGAGCATGCCAACCGCTTTGGATGGGTCCGCTAGTTCAACTGACTCGATAGGTTGTGCGATCCAGGGAGCAAGCATTGGCACAGCCATAGTCGTTGCAACCATGCCTAGGAAAGTCGACAGGAACGCGAGAATGACCTTCTGAGCGGCCAAGTCCCATTCGCCATGCCGGAAAACAAAGACATGCAAGAAAATGCCAATGGTAAAGGAGAGCCCGAGGGCCTCAGGGGTCCGGAGAACGTCACTCGCCAACATTGTGTCGCATCCGAAAGCGATAACCAATTTCAAAGAGAAACTGGCAAGCGTATCATAGGAAATATTTTCGGTATGGAAGCACCAAGCTGATATATCCCGACTTCATTCGTCTGAAGTTTGCATAATTCTGTCTCATTCAGGCAATCCCAGCTTGTTTCCCCAACTCCGTCGTACTCCCCCATCTCGCATGAAACTCAAGGTTTCGTCACCCGCTGCTTAAAAGCGGATGATCGAACCATGAGTCTTTAGGCTACACGGCGGGAGAATGCTGATATGAACTTTGCTTATCACATGTTCGGTCGTTTGAGCATCTTATAGATGTCGATTTGGGCCATCGTACGTAAGATGGCCGCCGATGACACGAGCTGTGATAGAAGAAATTGCCATATAGCAGAGAATGACTTCCAAGTCGGAGGTCCGGCCGCTCTCAAACATTGACCGGAACTCCGAGCTTAAATAAGTATATCGAGTTTACTGAGATGTACTGCTCTTTCAATGTCCCGTATTGCCATCCGTCGTCGGCATCCATAGTTCGGAAACTGCCACCGTTCCTCGCATCATTCTCTTGACCTTCTCTAAGCTTTGCAACCACTTGATGCTTGACTGATTCCTGTTTCTTTGGAACTGCCCTTCCAACAAGAAGACGCCTTGATGCACACCACTCCAAGGTCGGGTTCCGGCTGTGAAATTGCTTGAGGCCTCTGCCGGCATCTGAAGCTTCCCTTGCTCAATAAACCTACCAACAAGCAGCCACTCAACGATCTTCGGGAAGCATTTGGCTGTATCCAGTGCGCTTACCCAGAATTCTGGCCGCTTGTAATGTATTCTCGCACCATGAAAGACCAGTACCTTCACCACTTCCGCTCGACCTTCATGTGCAGCAGCCATCAATGCTGTTCCTGCAGCTGATCCTTCACACTCCACTTCCAGTCCCATTTTCAACAGGTTTCTAACTTCGTCAACACGGCCATGGTGAGCCGCAAAGCAAAGGAGGCTGAAGCTTTTGCTCTCACTCGTTGTGTCTTGAAACTGACCCAGCCGTCGCAAGAAGGTAGGGCCCAGGCGCCGGTAGAATAGTGGGAGGCATCGACGACTGGATCCTTTGGCCAAAAGCTGGACCTGCCACCAGGATTGCCAGAGTACCATCGTTTGAGGATCGATATCAATGTCTCGGGCAAAGTCCGAATTGAGAAGAAATGTCGCTATCTCGACCTTGACCAGGGCAGACGACCAGACAGGGAGGCCCAGGGCCCCTGGCTGATTGACTTTCATGCCTGTCGCCAGCAGCATGTGGAATGGCTTGATTTCATCCAGGAAAATGAAACTGTTGCCTCCATCATTGACGTTAATTCGCGTCCCTCTGTCTAGCAGGACTTCCATCGCTTGGATGTTGTCTTTAAGGATAGCTGTTTGGAGTGCTGTGCGACCTCGGTAGTCTCTGATGTCGATCGAAGCACCTTGGTCGAGTAAATACCCTACCATCGCGGCATCGTCATGATCCGCCGCCATGTGCAGAGGGGCCATGCCGGATGAATTAGCGGCGTCTGGGTCCGCTCTATGCGCAATAAGCAGCTTCGCCGCGACCACATTCTTTTTGATTGCCGCTCGATGTAAAGGAGTGTTGCCGCTATCGCCTTTGGACTGTCTAGCTACTTCCTTCGCCACATTGCCACCGAGAGAAGACTTAACTCGCTTCAAATGTGAGAGTAAGACCGCTAATGGATCGCTGGACTTTCTTTTAATGGCCTGGTGTGCTGGGGTCGAATTATTCACGAGCCAAATAAGTTCTGCCGGGGGAATAGCTTCTAGATAGGTAAGGAGAGTCTCTTCGGGTCTCCCGCCTTCCATGAACAAATCAAGTGTTGTGAAACCATTAATAGGCCACGCTTGATCATCTGAATTGCTGCCCTCAGATGAGGAGGATGAAGAATCAGACGTTGATGAACTGCCACTGTCATCGTAAATCTTTGAGCCCCTTTGCCAACCCACCGTGTAGTACCGTGTAATATTGCCATGACGACGACAAGTCATTCCCTTGAAGCTTGCTCCTCGACTGATGAGAACTGAAACACAGCGTTCAGAGACGTCATTCTTTCCCAAAGCATAGAGAAGAGGGGTGCAGGTTCGACAAGACCTCATGGTAATGTTAGGCGAGCATCCTCCATCGAGAAGCTTCTCGACATCCTCTTCATCATCTCTGTCAATTGCATACTTCATGGAGCCCGCCAATACTGTGGCTTTCACGTGCCTCTCTTGAGCAGTCATACCTTTGCCAGTGGCTGCTGCACCCAGGATGGAGTCCTGAACCATTCGCATGATGTTCTTACTTCTAAACGCGGTCATGTCTAACGGAGTCTTGCCATTCTTGCTCTTCAGGTGCTTTGCACCCAATTTCAGCAACAATGCTGTGACCGACTCGTTATGATGATGTATGGACATGTGGAGGGCTGTAAAGCCATGATGATCCTGGGCATCAATATTTGCACCCCGGGATACGAGAAGGGTGATCGAATCGTGTTGTCCAAGAAGTGTGGCTATGTGTAGTGCAGTCGTCCCATCCGATGTAGTGATATCAAGATCAATCGCGTACTCCTGATTGAGAAGATAGGCTACCGTCTCTGCCGACCCTATTGTCGCAATATGTAGGGCTTTCGCCTGTGTGTAGTTGTACGGGCTGGTGCCGTAGTCCCTAAGACACACGGTCACTTCGAAATCCCACAGTCGTTGATCACCGGCCATAGTGACCATTTCTTCTAAAAGAAAGGTCCATCCGTAGGCGCAAGCCCATGCGACTGGAGTCCACCCGTAGGCGTCGCTGGTACTTAGACTTACTGCGCCTCCTCGTCTCAAGAGAATCCTTGCGCTGTCAAGGTTTCCAGCCATTATGTGGATGAGCAATGGCGATCTGTTGCCTGGCTGACTTAAGGTGTTTGGATTACATCCTTCGTCCAGTAGCGATCGCAGAATTGTGACTCTTTGCGTATTGCTCGGCTTTCGGTAGCGAGAAAAGCCCCCCGTTTCAAGCAGGTAAACCACGCTTCCAGATAGTCTTGGATTAACATGATTCTATCTATCAGGCCAACAAAATTCGAATGTTGGTGTTCGTGGAGAGAACAGTCTGGGTTTGGCGCTTCCGTGAAGATGCAATAAGCCAACGAGCTCCTCTCCTGTCTCGTAACGGTGGAGATCGTCAATTCGAGCTTTGTCTGTCCTCTGAAGTATCTTTTCAAATATCCTGACGGAGGATTGGCTGTGTCCATGGGTGCAAATGAGCTCAAGCGCATTGAAAGACTTTCCCCTCGAGCCGCTTCTGGCATGGACGTCCACACTGAGCGAAAGAAGACGGCCAACTAGGTAGACAGAGTCGTGAACAACAGCCCAGTGCAGAAGCTGTAGGCCCAACCCCGTTCCCTTCAGATCTGAGTGATCAGTCGTGGCGTCGATCACAGAGCCAAAGATATTTTCCAATATCATGACAACTTTGGTTTTGATTTTCGGGCTTTCGGAGACGTTACAATTAAGGAGGGTTTGCAAGTCCCTGAGCGCAGAAATCCCAGAAACTGTTTCGTGATTAGCCAAGCAACCCGTGTCGACTAAGATATCGACTAAAGCCGACGCCCACTGGACTCCTAACGGCGGAGGCTTAGACAAGACTTCCACCAGATGGTCGATAACCATCGACCATATGCTCCGCTGGTGTGGGTCTAATGATAAAGGTAGCTCTGTGGAAATGAGAAGTCTGAGAACGTCCTCTTTGTAGATAGAAAATGAGCTTGAGGCTAGGTAAGAGCCGACAGGGCTCTTCCACTTTAAAGAATCTTGGTAGGAATAGATAGCCAGAAGCTGCTTCACGGCGTCTACATGCGCATTCGGCTGTAGATCGTGTAGAGGCGTCTCATCGTCTGGAACCGGTAGAACGCCGCGATTATGAAGTTCTTGCAGGGTTTTGGGGGACTCGATGCCTGCGATGATGGCATTTACCGAGGGTCGAGCGCTCTGTAACATGTCTTTACTTGCTTGACAGTGTTTGAGGATGATGCTGGCTTCATGATAATCCGGATGACCCGTAAAGAGGGCGTTGGCCAGTGGCGTCCGCCCATTGATGTTATCAAGCGCATGCAACGCTGTTTCGCGATCTTTCTTTGTGACATGCGTCGACATCAGCACCTGAAGAATTCTTTCGGACTTACGCCCGACGGTTGATAGGTGCCAGATGTTACGACCCTCTCTATCGGTAGTTGTTGCCTTGGACCCATGTTTCAGAAGGCTCACCAGGACATCCTCGAACTCATTCCCCGTACATCTGAGGAGCAGTCTTCCCATTGTGACATTCTCATTTTCGGGCCCAGAGAAACGATCGAGCAGAAAGCTTAAGCAGTTGGCGGCAAGACTTGACACAGCGTGGTCGATCAGGCCATCCAGCGTGTCATCCTGAAGGATCAGTTGACCTCGTGGTGTTTTGCCGGTCTCCTTCAAGCTGCTCAAGCAGTCGCTTTCAATAGCTTTCTTCATCCTCTCGACGAGCATATCATCCGTCGCAGCCTCAAGAGCAGGTAGTGGTACATCGATATCATGCATATCTGTGACGACATGTCGGAATGCTGTCAGATATGCTGAAGCTTCTGCCTCTCCCTGCAAAAACATGTCTCCGAGAATTTCCAAGACGGCAGCCACATCTAATCTTGCTTGCTCTTTTTTGTATTTGGTCCACTCTCGACACAGTAGTCGAAATGTGTGGATGGCGTCGTCGTGCATTTGAGCACCACCTTTGACAATTGCGGCAAAGATTCGATAGTCCCCTGCCCACTCAGATGACTTCAGCCCCAGAGCGCCCATGGAGTTCCACGAATACTGGGCTGGAAGAGACCTTGTGCAATCAGCTCCTGCTTCGATCAACGTCTGCACGAGCTCTATCGAAGGCTTCTCCACTGCAGAGATCCTATTCCATGTTTTGTACGTCTTTCTGGTAGATAGATCGTGGCACGCAATGAGGAACGGACCGCCGAGAGCGCATTGTAATGGCGAGCCTATCCGACTCATTCGGTGTATATCAGACTGATCCGCGACCAGATTATCACAAAGACGGTTCAGCCCTAAAAGGCAGGCCATGTGTAGCGGTGTGAAGTCACCGCGTCGAATAAAATGAGCCAAACGTCTCGTCTGACCTTCCTGCCACTTCCAGTCTGGATGTTCCCTCTGTCTCCAGAGCCAAGATCTTGATTCAAGGGGTTCGATAATTTCCTCTGATCCCGAGGATTCCTCTGATCTCGAGGGTTCCTCTGATCCCGAGGATTCTGATGATGCCGACGATCCCGATGATGCCGACGATTTTGATGTGCCCCAATGGGACCCAGACGGTCCTGTAAACGCTTCTGTGGATTCAGAGCACAAGGAATCACTGCTGCTATACCACCTGTCGCGCCGAGAGTGAGTACCCACACTCCAAGGCTTGTCTTCGAACCGATCGTTGACCCAGCCATTCCAGGAAGCTCCAAGGCGGTAGAAGTGACAAACTTCCAAGGACCATGCTTTGAAGTTCGAGGTTTGCGCGGGGTTGCAAAGTTCCATAGCCTGTTCTCTGAACTCCTCGTCGTCCCAAAGCTCGTCTGCTAGTCGGGGCCATACCAAAGCCGCATATCGATAAAACGGTAGTCGCCTCCGTCTGTTGGACAAGAAGCTGTCTTCAGAGTTCAATCTTTTAGGAAGCCGTGCGAAGTGATTGAGACACAAGAAGCGGAGCGCACATATCCCTAGGAGGCGCCGAGTTCGAGATCTCGACACACGGTATCCCGCCAATTCCGGATTAGTCGGGTCGATTTGTTCCAGAAACTCCTTGACCGTATGGTGTGCTAGCCCGAATTCTTCTCCGTGGGCTGCCTTAGTCAGGAATATGCCACATGAATCCGTGATCTCATTTTCATCGACTTCAGGGTATTGCAACTCGTCGGCATCCAGCCCGGGTATGCCTACCACCGATAACGCCTGGCAAAGCTCATGACTCGTGAGCGGAGGGTCCGAGAACGCGGTCAACTGAAGAGCAGATTGAATCAGAGCTTTGGTCGAAGCCGGCTGCTCGTTGAAGCGCTGGAGGTTCAGCTTGTATATCCCTTCCAGATTTTGCGGAAGTGTCTTCGACATCTCGTGCAAATTTTCCGCCGTGGCGTATCGTGCAATATACTCGATGGAGCAAGATGCAAACCGGAAGCTTGTGTTGGTCAGTTGACACTCTCCCACAGTTGAAGGTTACATCACCTACCTTGGATTGATAATTGGACCGAAGCTCTGAATGACATTGTCTTTCAGTCGCAAGTTGTGGAAAACTGAATTCGCCTCCGTGGCCATCTTCTCAATCTCTGTGGCGGCGAACACTTCCAATTGTTTTCTGTCGGGCTCAAATTCCTTGCAACAAAGCGATTCGCCAAAGCTGCTTTTGAGAGTGGTCTCTATTCTTTGCCGATAACGCGAGACCATGGCTAATCTGACGTTGCCAGATTCGGAAGCTAATGAAGCCATCAATTGCGTGACGTTATCGCCCTCGTCAGAGCACTCATCCACCCCATCAACGACACACAGGATCTGCCGAAACACTTTCGTCGTAGCGAAGAAGACTGCCTTCATCCTTTCTATAGTCGGGATTTCGACTAGTCTTCGAGTTCGCAACTCGGAGTAGTAATTCCCGAGTATAGTCATCGCCGACGGGTGCTGTACGGCAATCTGGGCAAGAAGAGTGCCGAGGAAATAAAAGCATTCGTAGGACCGTGGGTCTGAAAATCGACAGAAGGCAAAGATTACCGCGGTGGCTTGGTCAGAATAGTGTGTATGGATCGCAGTTTCGATGAGTGTGGCGGCAAAAGTCGTCTTCCCGGCTCCGGGGCCGCCTGTGATCCAAAGATGGGAGCTTTTGTCGTTGCAATTGCCGTGGCCTATCCAGCATCGGATGGGTTCAAGTTCCAGCAAATCATACTCTGTCCAGTTGGATCGTTTGCTGACAGTCCGCGTGAGGACTTCAAGATGGTCAACCCTTGCGAAGAACGACGTCACGGTGGAGTTCTCCTTTGAGTGCCTGCAGCGGCCCATCACGTATCTTCTGACGACTTCTCTGCGATTTGGAGAATGTCGACCTTTGCCTTTAGAAAAGCTTTGCAGCAGCTCGTTCATGGAGTTGGAGGAGAGAGCCCTAGTAACAGCCTCCTTGTGTTGACCGATTTCTTGTATCAGGTCAACGGTCCATGCTGTTGTGAAGGGCCATCTCAGCTTTGCTCGTGATTTGAGATCTGCCTCCCGTTTTATGACGTCGTAGGTAAGCTCCCTACGACTCAAGCTCGCCTCGAGTTTGATCAAGGTCTGTCGGCAAGAGAATAGCTGTTGAGGTAGCTTCGGTGAGCGGAGGCCATAAACATCATCAAGGACCTGATTGTGATCTTCGTCAAAGGCGGAAGCTACCAGAGTGAGTCGATGCAGTAATCCAGCCAGATCTTGGATCTCGGTTGCAACGCGGCGTATTTCGTCTCGCCTCTTGATATCCATGAACGGGTCAATCTTATCCTTCGCAAAATCGTATGTGCTTCTGAATGCATTGTCGGCGACGGCCACCAAGCCGCGAAGGCTGTTAACGACTTCAGTGGGCTCCATGGTCGACACAGATTCTGGCTAGCTCCAGATGATGAGCTTTCCTGAGGAAAGGCGCTGCGGCGTAAGTCTCTCTGTTGTACGTTGTTGACTGGAGTCCGGCGAGGGAAATTTTCAACATCGACTTGTTTTTGTGAGGGGCATCGGAGCTTTGATGCCTATTCGGCAAATTGCTCTCGAGCAATCATCGCCCTGCGTGATGTGCTGACTGCATGCGTGTGTGACGTGGTGTACCTTCCCCCGCTCCTCCTGTGATACGCGGCCAATTAACGCGACAATGTCTCATTCGCGTACTTAGCTTTGCAGACCGCCAGCGTGTGAAGTAGTGCAGCATTGACAAACGCCTCTCGATCTCAAAAGCTGATATCGCGAATGGATGTAAAATTACACAATATTGAACAGTTTGGATGCTATGCTTTCGCCATGAACTTTGTCGCTGACGGTAATCAATTGCCTGTCGGTTGTCGCCTTGCTCGATGAGATACGTGGTCATCTTTTAACGGGTAGCAACGTAGACTGCGGTAACACTATCCGACTCGGATAAATATGTCTTAGTTGTTTCGAGGAACCACAAATTCATGTTGATGAACTTCATGTATAGGATACTATTCTCGTCAGTCTCTACTACTACCCATTGCAAGTCTTGATAATATCTCCGTCTATCGATTCTATGGATCCAACACTCATTCAGTCGTAATGAAATATTTGTATTTTACTCGAATGTCCCGGAGATTTTCGTTCTTTGATTGTTCTGGCTCTTGCGTTGTTCTTGTTATGCTCAATTACGTCCCACGCGGGAATTATCGCAGTCTCGCTTTAATTACTTTTGCTTACTTCTCAGTATCGCAGCATGCCCCAATGACTCGTAAACTGCTCTATGTAGAGTCTTGCAGCTTTAGAAGACATCAGACCTGCGAAAGGCACATATGAAGGCGGGTGGTTTCAGCCCCAAGCCCTGGCGAACAGCAGTTCAGTCTAGCCCTGACATCCAACCAAGGACAACCAGATTCAATAGAGGGGAACTGAGACACCATACTACCAAATTGCTTGTGTAATTCCCAGAATAGATGATTCCGAATATGCAGATCCGCGATTCATGGGAGACCCTTCCACGGGATCCAGGGTTCCCACGGCCTCCACGGATGTTTGAGCCGACCCAAATTTCCGGAACCCGCGCGGACAAGGCTCTCCGCGGGGACGCCGCCAATGTCTTATTCCAACATCACCCTCTTCTCTGACTGTCGCCTGGTGACACAAAAGTCTATTTCAGTCTGGTGTGGGCTTCAGATGAACGCCCTGGTCCCTACATACGGTAACCGAGACCGAATATCCGACTAAGTCGCAGGGGCTGTTGAATTCTGAGAATGAAAAGTTGAGCGGCTTAGCTATTTGGCCGACAAAGCACCTCAAACCTGGGTCTTCGGGTTATAGTCTTGTCCGCGAATTCCGTGGCTTTCTCGCAAACTTCAGCTGAGTGCTCAGACCTCAATCAAAGTCCTTCTTTAGACAACCTGGATCTCGGTCGTCCCGGAAAAGCAGTAGTATATATCGCCGTTTAGAGTTTGAAAATGACCTCTTAGTTTTATTGGTAGCTATCGAGGACTTGAAGCAGACCTGCAGGCTACATTCACCGGGCTTGGTCGCATGCTTTTGAATGCCAATGCTGCCACCCTGGAACGTGAAGAGGATGAAGTATAAATAGGGCATACCCGCAACAACTCGTCGATAGGTTACAATCACTCAGACCTATCCTTCCAACACAAGTGCACTCTCTACGACCATCCGTTAGCCAGTACAAGGAATTCTATCAAGATGCAGTTCCTCAAGATCGTCTTCACCTTCGCTGCTGCCCTTGCAGTGCCCGCATCCGTTAGTGTCAAGCCCGATTTCGAATCACGGTCAACAACTAACGCTTTCCTTAGGCCGCAACCTGCATTCAGCTCGGAGCTTGTGCCGAGGGCAACGACATCAGACAGTGCACTTCCGGAAGCTGCCATCAGAAGCTTGGCCAAACTTGCACCATCAGCGGCAACACCGTCAGCTGCCCGAACTAAGCGATGAGCGTTCAGCAAAGACTTCCTCGATAGACAGAACCTTGATTTAAGGCTCAATTGATGTTCATAAAGATTTCTGTCGATGTTTTGCTTGGACCAACGCCACACTGTTCCTCCAATTTCGGAATATGTATGCGAGACCCGGTCGTCTCCTAACATCCCATGCCGTTGACAGCGACTAAAACTCAAAAACTTCCTCCTCGACGTAGAATATGCTCTTCGTAGAACTGACCTTGGACGCTGCTATCCTGACGTCCCGAATAAGCTGGATGGGACCACAAACGTTGACGGCTGCGTCCAGACAAGGGTGCATTCTCCTCACTCCTTCCAACCATCCCAACACGTTTGGACGGCCCTGCCCCAACTCTCCTGGAACGTCATGTTGACTGGCTCGACCAACCATTGCGTATGCGTCCTCTCCATCATCCGCCCGTACAGCTCCTCTGCCCGTGACATAGATCGAAATATTCAAAGTCGCAGGTACACCAGGATCGGCTGCCAGCGCAGCAAGACTTCTCAACTCGTCGCCCAACCACTCGATGCTCTCGACGTCTTTAACGACCCACAGCATGTGAATATGCCATGACTTCCCTTGCAGAGCACAGGCATCGGCGGACGCGGCTCGCTGAATGAGATGCGTTGCAATGCTGATGCCGGGAGTGATGCCAATACCACCGGCGACGAGGACTGTCAGCGGCTGCTCGCCCCAGAAAACGCGGCCGACGCCGTATGGTCCATCCAGACGCATTCGCAGCTTTCCAGTCTTTTTTTGCATACCTTGACACGGGGTCACGTACTCACTGCTCGTCTTTCCATCACCCGGGACGATACCCTGGACTTTCCTCGTGTACCCGCCCAGCCCTCTAATCGCCAGAGACGCGCCCTCATCGCCGGGCGCAGACGCGATGGTGAAGGGGTGCCAGTTCAGGAACGACACGCTCGGGATCTGCACCCAGGTAATTTGCCCCGGATGCCGCGGCTTCATCCCTTCGAACTTGATCTTGAGGACGTCTCCGTAGTGGTGCTGCACAGCGGTCGTGTTGATGGGACGAAAGTTGTAGTAGAAGCGCAGGAAACGGTCGCAACCCCAGAGCAAAAGGCCAGGCAGCAGGAACTCAGGACCCTTGGTGGCGTGGATGAGGGCGCCGACAACGAAGAGGAAGAAGAGGGCGTGAGAGTAGTAAAAGACCTCGAAGAATCGGCGGCGGATAATGGGGACCGAGGTGAGGGAGATAAGGACGAGGGATGCCCATGCCATGGCGCCGACTTGGATGCGCAGGTTGTAGAATGAGTCAGCGAGTTGGTCGGTGGCGATGTAGTGCTGGGTGTTCAGGGCGAAGTGGATGGTTGCGTGGACCATGGTAGCGACGCCGATCCAGCGGTGGTAAACGAGAAGAACCGGGGATGGGATCTGGGCGATGATGGAGAAGAGGTTTGTGCGTGCGGCGAGGAGGAGGGCGAGGCCGCCGTTGGCGATTGTGAGCCACCCGTAGAGTTTGAAGTCGGTAGTGAATTCGTTGTCGTTTACTCCGAACAAGATGTTGAGAGCAAGGAGGGCCGCGAACCTTAGGAAGTTGGCGGCATGGTGGTTCGTGAGGATGGGGATGGGCGATGGCAGAGTCAATAGCTTGTGCAGGGCTACGGCCACGCGTGTGTGGCCCGATGATGATGCTTTGATGAACGGGCGGCCTGGGCATTGATGTCAGTATATGTGTAACATGTCTCTCATACAACTAGAAAGGCTTACCGCGATGTGCCAAGCTGCGAAACCGCGCAGGAAGTCGGACGATGCTCTCGAGGAAAAGCATCCCAATGACACAGAGAAAGTAGGCCCTCGCTGCCAAATACTGATCTTGAATTACGGGTGTTTCCATGTTGAACTGGTAATGATGCTATCGTAAACAATGTCTAGGCCAGGAATCCGGAGAGGTTTGATGAGTTGAAGACAACAAGTATGATGGCTTAAGATGATGTTCCTACATGCTGAGATCGTGGTTATTCTTATGCTTTTGTATCATGTTGGGTCTTCAGCTACAGGCCATTGAAATCTATGAGTTGAACTGGTTTTGACGTGTGGCTGATGATGAGGGATCAGAACTGCCAAAGAATGTTGTTTTGCATGATGATGGATCAAACTTTCCGAATGCAGTTAGTATGTGAGACGCGCGGTTGGGTCTCGAGCAGCGCCCGCAGGCACAGAAAGCTGGACGCAACATGATGTGGCTTGCTGCTAATTAGTGCGCTGGGTTTCTTTGCTACGTTGTACTTCCCATAATTATGATTTGGAAGTTTAGATAATACAGCCTCAGCGTCTGATATCATAATCGTGACATTGAATCTGCCTTACCCAGGGGCCCGAGTTAGAGAACCTTCAGGGACATAGGAAAGACACTGCTTTGCGACCTTAAAGACCAATAACTTCGGAGTCTTACACCAGGCATGACTCTAATGAGCGGGCTCTTTTATCAACCTGGAGCCAATAGCTTTGGTGATGTACATCAGAACGCATGGGGTGGAATCACCAACCTTGAGCACCAAACTTTACTACCAAGTCCATCTCGAAAGGACCCTCTCTCGCCTTATTTATGAGTTTCGCGGATACATAGCCCTGAGAACCTGATCTCTGTCACTTTTCAACATGTAAGCCACGCGCAAGGCAAACATGGACGTGCGTTGTTTGGACTTGAAGGACGCAAGCCACCGCACACTTTAAGCTTAAGCTCGGGTACTTGCTGCTAGCGCATTACACGGTATCATCAGAATTTCCTATTTAGGCAAGAGTCAAAGTTGCAAAGGATCTAACTGGATTACACATCAAAGTTAATGGATGCTTGGATTTGAGGGTCCTCCCACGAATGAGATGGCATTGATTCCAAAGAAGTTCAAGTATATAACCTCCATACATGTCCGCCTCGATAGGTAATTGCAACATCGCATCACTCTCGAATCATAAGGTATTCACAATAAGACAATCTTACAACTCTACGCTTTTTTTCACAATTACTTTTAACCACACACAACTCAGAACAATGTTCAACCAAAGCACCTCGGTCTTCCTCACCGGCCTCACCGGCCTCGCCGTCTTCACTGCCCTCGTCTCCGGCCAGGGCAACGACACCATGACCCAGAAGATTGGGTGGTCCGGCAAGCTCTCCTCTCTCGACGGCGGCCTCGGCGGCACAGTCGCCGTTGTCGACGCTTCAACTCTCATGATCAGCGACTACACCCTCAAGGATGCCTCGGCGCCTGCACTCTACTGGTGGGGTGCCACCGACGATGTCATCAAGAACGGCTTCCGCATCTCCAACGAGCAGGTCACCAAGGCGGCATCCACCAATACGCTCACCATTAAGCTCGATACCGGGAGGACACCGGCTGATTTCTCCACCGTCGGGCTGTGGTGCGAGCGGCTCTCGGCCGACTTTGGGCAGGCTACTTTGAAGGCCTCGTCTGGGTCCGGGTCAGGGTCTTCGTCCTCCGGCGGCAGCGGCTCGAGCTCGACTTCTGCGGCCAGCAACCTGTCTGGATCTATGGGACGCTTGGCGGTTGTCACTGTCGGAGTTGTCTCGTTTGCCGCCTGGATGATTTAGGTGGCACAAGTCATGATTGCCACGACAGCAGTGTCGCCATGTTTTCAGACTGGCTGGGTAGACAATTTGCGACAACACGATCTTTACGATGGATTTCTCAGGGTGAGAGGAAGGGCAGCATGCACATATAGTAGTTGAATGAACGTGGTTTTCTGAATCTCCCAATCGCTCAGCTCCTCCGTTGCGAATTGCCCATCACCAGTCAAATTGGAGAGATTCGTGAAAGCAACCCACTAAGATGCTCGACAGTGGAACCAAAAACTCAGCAATAAACAAAAACGGGAATCTAGCGTCGATGGATCTGAAGCGGGCCACAGTAGCCATGGTTCGCATGGTTCGTGGGATGCTGACCCCGGATGAGGCCGCCGGGATTGTAAGATATGTATTGAATGGGTGGGAATGATTGTTCCTACTGTGTGTGCTCATCATTTCACGTCACGTTTCACTGTGCAGGGATTAGAGTCAAGGCACTGTATACCCCTCATCAGGCAACCAGACTAGCTGTGCCGCACCACCTTCCCACCCTCCCCGCCGCCGCTCAGCTCCTCCCGTCATCCTCCCCCGCCGTTCTCGACTTCTTGCCTTCCCGGCAACTCCTCAAATCTCGGGCTCTCTCCTTCAATCAACCATATTCTGCCTGCCAATCGATTCGCCAGCGGGAGTAAGAACCATTCATCACAGGATCCAGCCTGGCTTACGCGCCGGCTGACCTCTCCCAAATCTCACCATGTCCCAATCCAGGCGCCAGGCTCCTCTCGGTGAGCGACCATACAAGATCCGTAAACACATCCATCAAGGCCCGCCCTTTGCTGCGGTGCCAATACCCGCCTCGCTGCCGCCTTATTGGCCGCCTACGGACGAGCCCTTCGTCAATACGCAGCTGTACGGCGGACCAGCCATCTATGGAGACAATGCCTGGTCCCAGAGCCAGGGACTCGGGCACCTCGACCAAAGCTTTGTCAAAAGTTTGCCTGCAGATAGCCAACAAGGGCTTGACATGTTCCAGCCTGCTTCTGCCCAGGCACCTCCTCCAGCGTTGAGCACCGTGAGCAGCGTCACCTACTCGTCCTCATCGACCTCCCAGCCATCATCGGCAGGCTCCGGGCTGTCTCCATCGCAGACTGAGCTTCCATTTGAGTGGCCGGCTCCAACGTCAGCTTCGCATTCCCGCGTTCCATCGCCTGCTGAACGGGCGGTAGAGCGTGCCCAAAGCCGATTCGTCTGCCTTGGCCCGCATTGCGATGAGGCTTTCGACCGGGAGCAGGAGCTAAAGAGCCACTTCAAAGCGGTCCACACACACATTTGCAACTGGGGAGGCTGCGACCAGCCAGCCTTCTCCTCCAAGGAAGGACTGACCTGGCACGTCAAGCTAGAGCACCTTCTCGTCTGCCCCGCACCAGGATGTACGGAAAGCTCCTTCCAGAGCAAGAGAATCTTGGAGTGCCACATCAGATGTGCACATCCTGACGCCAATGAAGGCAACGGGAAGGCCGTCGAGTCGGTCCCGAAGCCGATGGTACCTGTCATGACTCTCGAAAAGTCCGCCAAACAACCATCCACCAACACAGCTGCAAATCCAAAGGATGCCATGGAGGACAAGGCGACTAGGCAAAGCCTGTCTGTCACGTTGGCGAAGAAGAGATGTCGAGAACAGCTGCGAGCGGCTGTGGAAAAGAAGCATAAAAGGCAAAACGGTACGTAACGCCGACATGCGAGACGCCCATCTGACTCCCGTAGGCCAAGCACCTCGCGCAGCCGATAGTCCCAGTGACTCGTCACGGGCGGTAATCACCCGCCTGATCGAGAGCGCCAGCTTTCCGATGGTTTGGGAGCATGGCGTTCTACCCTTTCTGGTCGAGTTCCTCCCAAAGTGGTGCGGCCCGAACCACGTCGTCAGCGTCACCCGCGGCAAGACTCCCGGCTCCCGTCGCGTCTGTATAATGACTAAGAAGCAACCATCACGAGCACGACGGATTATCATCGCAACCCACGTGAAAGATCTTCTGCCTGAGATATACCGGCCAACAATATCTTTCGAATTCTCCATCGGCGACGTGGAACGCCTAGTCTGGGCCAGAGGGTTGAGCAAGGACATGCCAGACGACATCTGCATGGCCCGGAACCCGCATTACTTCAAGGACCCATGTATGGGCGACAGCATCGGCATCGCAGGGACCGACGACTTCGAGGAGAGTACCTCAACTCTGGGACCATGTCTAGTCATCGGCGGTGGAAACTACTGGCTGGCCAACTTCCATCCCTTCGTCGACGCGTACCAACACCTAAGCGAAGTCAGCGTGCAACATCCTTCACCAAGCGACCGATCCCGCTGCGTCGAGGAACGCCACGATACCATGGACGAATCCAAAGATTTCACCATTGGCAAACTCACCGCAACATCAGGCATCGACCTCAAGACAACCCGCATCTCCCATGACCCTTTTTGGGAAGACTGCGGAAAAGAACAGCCTTTGATCGTGACGGACTGGATCCTGATCGCTGCAAAGACCAAGCAAGCCAATATTCTTCGCCGGTTCCCCTCAGAGACAATGCCCCTCCTGAAAGAAATACCCATCAAGAACACTTCGGCCATTGTGCCAGGCGGGTCAGTTGTATCCACGGGCCGAACATCCGGGCAACAGCGTGGACAAGTCTGCGAGGTACCCGCTTACGTCAGGGGAGAGGACAACGGTACAGGCAAGGCTACACGCGAATGGTTCATCGAAGACCCGGACGATGACGAGGAAGCATGGATTCGAGGTGGCATCGGCGTTGAAGGCGACAGCGGTGCCGCGGTAGTCGATGCAGACACCAATGCCCTCGTGGGCCAACTCTGGGGACGGAACAAGTACTTCGGGGCCGGCCCCCGCGTGACCTACTTCACCCCTGTCGGCGACCTCTTCGACGACATCCAAGAACGGTGCGACCAGCAAGGGCGGCCCCAACTGCCGCAGTACCGGGACGAGTCGGACTGCTACCCCGTCTACCCGAGCTGCCGACAGTGCTACGATCTGCGCACCTACCTCGACAGCCGGCGCAGCTCGCGAGAATCCCTCCGCTCCATGATCGGCCGCCTCGAGAGCGACCATGGCGAGCTCCCCTCGCTCGGCGGCACCTCGGAGCTCGCGACGCCACAGGACCACGTCCTCTGGTCTCGGCACACCGGCGTCGAGGAAGTCGGGTCATCCTTCTCCAGCAGCATATCCCCCGCCGCAGTCCACAACTTCGGCTTCACCCCGCAGCCAGGGACGCCCAGCATCGTAGACGTCAAGAGCCCGTACGCCCTAACGCTCAGCGCAGAGGATCTATACGACGACGAGGCCTTCACGTCAACGGCCACAGGCAAACGGTCAGCTGCAATGATGCAGCGCGGCTCGGTCCCGGGTGCCAAGAGGCAAAGATTACATTAGCCGTAGTTCTGTACATTAGCTGTAGTTCTGTTGCCAATAGCCCTTTATCCGGGCAGTCCTCCTCGTCCCATCTTTCTCGCGCGCTGGTCGCGGCGGTTATGATTCGCTCTGGAGCCCTTGCTGGCTTCCTTCCTCCTCCGCGCCGCCTCCGTGTCCTTGTCTCCCGTCGGACCTGCCACATTTCCGCCGCGCCCGCCGCCTCTGCCTCGACCCCGACCACCACCGCGACCGCGCCCACCTCTTCCACCCCTTGACGAGCCGCCGGCTCCATCCTGCTCCGACTCCTCGGCGCCGGATCCCGAAGGACTAGCCCTCCACGCCGTGGACCGCAACTCCGTCTGCGCGCCCGTAAACGCCGCGGCACCGCTATACTTGGCCTCCAACCTCCTCTTCTGCGCCGGGTTCCTCGACAGCATGACCGCCCAGCCCTCAATCGCCTCGTCCGTCATACCCGTCTCCTCCCGCAACTTCGCCCTCGGCTGCCCCCTCCGCGTCGCAGCCTGGCGGTCAAACACAGTCGGATCAGCCTGGAACGCCTTGAACAGCGTCTCCTCGCTGGCGTCGTTCTGCCCGTCGGCCTCCTCGTTGGCGCCGGCGTCGACGGTGCCGCCGACATCGTCTGCGTCGTAGGTGTCGTCGCGCTCGTCGTCGTCCGAGTCGAAGGCCGCGAGCGCCGAGAGGATGGCGGCCTTGTTGGGCGCGGTGGAGCGGTCTTTGAGCACGTCGTCGGCTGTCTTTTCTGGGTTTCGCTTGCCGAAGTGGAGTTTGGAGACGTCGAGGTCTAGTCTGTCTAGTTCGTCGTCGTCGAAGACGTTGTGGCGTTGGGGGAGTTGTGGTGGTGTGGGTCTGGGCGCGATGTCGTGGCTGAAGCGCCGCTCTATCTTGGGTGATCTGTCTTTTGTTAGCAAGATTGTTCTTTGGTGGGGTGGGATGAATGAGACGTACAGCTGCTCGCCGCGGTTCAGGTCCTTAAGATGTGGCGGCAAATCATCCTCCAACAGATGCGACGTGACAACCTCCGTGTCATCACCAAACTCATCAAAGAGCTTCGACACAAACGCGGAACCCAAATCGGGGAACAGGTCCTGAATGAGAGCAATCTGGCTTTGCCTGTGAATATGCAACTCAGCCTGCGCATCCCCCGCGTCGGCAGTCCCCTTGCCCTTGTCGACCTTCCTCTTCACGAGCCTCTTGGGCCTCATGAAACCACCGCCGGGCTTCTTGAACCCTTCCAGCGCTGAGATCCTCGTCTTCAGCGCCGTAGAAGCCGCGCCCTTTTCCTCTGCCCGCTTGAGGAGCTGTTTCAGCACCGGTGTGACTGTGACCAACTCCGCCACCAGTGAATCGTTCACGTTGAGCGGTCCGGCCTTGTGCGTCTCCGCCGCGGATTTTAGGGAGAAGAGGACGTCGGCGAGCATGCCGAACCGCGGCGTCTCGCCCTCCGTGAGCCCGATGAGACATACGTACATCGTCGTGATGAGTACCTTTCTCAACGGCGGATTTGTGATCTTGAATGCCGACACCAGGCCGTCTGAGAAATCTGACCCGGCGAGGAAGAATGCCGCCGCGTCAGGGGATGCATGCAGCAGGTGGTTCAGCCCGGCCAGCCTGCTCTCGAGCGACTTCAAGTCGGCCTTCATCCCTGCTTCCAGGGACTGCGTGAGCGACTTCTTAAGCCCCGCAAGCGACGTCTCAAAAGCCGCGGCGTGCGCCTTCCACGCCTTCGTCAGAACGGCTGGCGCATTCTTCCGGAAGAGCTTGCTGAAGCTGGCGAGAAAGGTTGGTGTCGTGAGCGGGATCGACGGGGGTGACGAGAGGGTGAGAAGGCGGGCTGTGAGGGTGAACGCCGCCCTGAGGAGCACCTTTGCTGGCGGGGATAAGCCTATTGTCGCAGCCGGGCTGGCCTCTGCGATCTCTGTGATGAACGTCGAGAGGAAGGCTGGGAGGGAGTCGTCTTTCGAGACTGCTTTTGAGAGTTGGGCGTCGGTCTGGGCGAGGTAAGCCTGGGAGAGCGTCGTCCAGGCATCGATGAGGGCGTTCCAGTCCTGCGGGGTGAGATGAGAGCGCCATGTGGATGAGGGGAACGGGGCGAAGGGTGGGAGGGTCGCCATTTTGGATCGGGTTCCTCTCTGGTGGTGGAGAGTGTTGATAAGGGGAGGGAGGATGAAGGAGGTGCTCTGCGAGAGAGCGGTCGTCGTGTATCTTATTGCATGCGGCTTAGCTGAGCTGTCATGTCGTTCGCCGGATGATTCATGGTCGGTGCAAGACCCCACGGTGCCAGCTTCCCGGCTGGAGCTTGATGCGGAAGTGGGTCTTCGCAGTACGTACACATCCCACCTCGCGCTACTCCCAGACGGGCCTAGTGTCTTTTCGGTAAAGCCCTACAACCTTCCCCCACGAAAAAGTTCGCGATCGCAATTTTCGCAGCCTCTCCTCCAAGCTTCTCTTCGAGCCCAACCAGCCTTCATCACTTTGCCGCAACCACCGTTCGAGTCGTGAAGGACCATTCTCGCCCAATTCTCTTCAATCAACCACCCCCAGAACCAACCGTTCAATCCCGCAAAAATGTCTTACAACAAGGACAAGGACTTCGGCGAGGCGCCCAAGACGCACAAGATCCGCATCACCCTCTCCTCCCGCAAGGTCCAGTCCCTCGAGAAGGTCTCTGCCGAGCTCATCGAGCGCGCCAAGTCCAAGGACCTCCGCGTCTCCGGCCCCGTCCGCCTGCCCACCAAGACCCTCAAGATCACCACCCGCAAGACCCCTTGCGGTGAGGGTTCCAAGACCTGGGACTGCTTCGAGATGCGCATCCACAAGCGCCTCATTGAGTACGTGTTTTTCCCTGCGCGCGCGCGCGTGTCCCATTTTCGGAGTGAAGAATCCTTTTGCTGACCAGAATTCTAGCCTCAACGCCCCTACCGAGATCGTCAAGCAGATCATCGTCAACATCGAGGCTGGTGTCGAGGTCGAGGTCACCATCGCCGCCTAAGTTTTCCTCCCAAAAAGGGAATACGCCGCGGATCGGGACCGAGAAGGGACTTGTTGTAAGAGGGACGAACGGTATGGGCTTTGGCTTGGGAATGCTGCGCCGCTGTGCTTGATGATGCCGAAAGGCTCTCGCGCGAGACGGCTGCGGCGGGCCGAGTTTGGAGGTCTAGATACCACCCAAATAAAACAATGACCCCAATTTGAGTATTGCTGTGATATTGCATGGTGATGCCGTCGGACCATGATCGAATCGGCGTGATCCGCATCCCTCGTATGCCTGGACACGCTTGTAGATGGGCGCAGTGCTGCCGGTATTGAAACGCCCGGCCAGATACCTCTATCCACTAACTTTTTATGATTATCCTATGGTATTGATATAACGCCCTGCAATGCTGGTTCCTTTGCTTAGAAAGTACAAGGCGGCATGCGTTCCTTTTCCGCCTCTTGGCGTCCTGCCGGCCAAGTTAAATATCCCAAAGGCAAAACTCCCTCTTTGGTGGCAACTCAGGCATGAGACCCCCTTCAAACTGGCCCTTCTGAGTGAAAGCGTGCCACTGCAACTTCGACTTCTCATCATATGCCTCGTCAGGAAGCTCCGTGTCCTTGTTGTAATTCGGTGGCCCGTCGGGGAACCAGACACGCTTCCACCCTCCGTCTAATGCGCGCACACCGGGAAGATTATTCTGGTATAGGACAGGCTTGCCCTTAAACATTGATAGCCTCCCGTCCATTCCCTTCGAGCTGTAGCTTGAGACGGGAGGATGCTGCTTGGAGCTGCCCGGCGGGTATGGCCCGCTCCCAGATGCGGCTTGTTGCTGAGCAGCTGGGGCTGCAGGTTGTGTACCGAACGGGCTTGCTTGCGCTGCTCCTCCGAGTCCCGTTGGCTGACCAAAGGCAGGCTTGGCTTGGCCAAAGGGATTGGCGGCTGCTTGTGGTTGAGAAGGCTGGCCGAAAGCACTTGTTGTTTGTGTCGGCTGTGCGTCCATGCCGCCACTTGCTGGCGCATCTTGTTTCGCGCCAAATGGGTTGGCGGCCGCCGGGGTCTGTGATGGCTGTCCGAACGGATTGGCAGCCGCAGGTTGAGATGTTTGGGCCGGTTGACCAAAGGGACTGGCGGACGCTCCAGGCTGAGACGGCTGGCCAAACGCGCTTTGCGTTGGCTGCGATGGAGCCCCAAAAGGACTGGCATTTTGCGTTGCATTCTGCGCGGGCTGTCCGAAAGGACTACTCGCGTTGTTGGTGTTCGCCGCCGCCTGTCCAAACGGACTGGCATTGGTGGTACTCCCACTGGCACTGCCAAACGCACCGCCGCCTCCAAAAGGATTCGCCTTCTGCCCCAGTGCACTCGCCTGGCCAAAGGCGCTTCCCCCACCTCCAAGTGCGGACGGTTGTCCGAACGCGCTACCAGAAGCTCCAGGCTGTGAAGGCTGGCCAAATGCGCTGCCGGAAGCTCCAGGCTGTGAAGGCTGGCCAAATGCGCTACCAGATGCGGCAGGCTGTGAAGGTTGACCGAACGCGCTGGTAGTTGTTCCGCTAGGCTGGGCAGGCTGTCCGAAGGCACCACCGCTTCCAAACGGATTTGGCTTCTGGCCAAGCGCTGATGCTTGACCAAACGCTGACGTCCCTCCTCCAAGAGCACTAGGCTGTCCAAAGGCCGATGACGGCTGCGACGGCTGGCCAAATGCTGGGGTTGAGCTCTGCGCGCCGCTGCCAAAGGCTGATGTTGGCTGAGAGGGTTGACCGAATGCCGGTGTTGACGATGCTTGGCCGAAAGCTGATGTCGGTTGCGAAGGCTGACCAAAGGCAGGTGCGGCGGCTCCCCCACCAAAGGGGTTCGGCTTCTGCCCAAGGGCGGATGCTTGACCAAAGGCACTACCTGTCGTCGAAGCTCCGCTGCCAAAAGCTGATGACTGTTGATTACCAGAAGAGAACGGATTCGCGGCCGCTCCGGAAGATGCCCCAGACCCGAAGGGGTTCGCCTGGCCGAGCGAACCGGTTGCCCTCTTGCCAACCGCAAACTCTCCTGTCGTCCCGCCTGGTAGCGTCCCTTGTTTGCAGATATCGACTCGATTCGGATGCTTCTGCTCGGCAGAGATGAGGAATTGGATCGCGCCGTCCAGATTTCCGACCGCGGTCTTCATCTGCTGCTGTGCTTGCTGGTACAGCTCTTGCGCTTGGTTGAGCTGCCTGTTGTCAGCCGCCCGCTGGCGAGAAACGAATCGTGATCCCTACCGCTTGTTGTGGGTTGCCCGAGGCCGTCGCCATGATATGGTGAAGCCTCATCTCCTCAAAGCTCTGCTCGCGGATGGGTCCGCCGAAAAGCTGTTCCGGGGCGTCCCTTCCCGGTCCATACGCTGACAGAATCCATTGTGGTTGTTCAGAGGTCAGGTCCTTCTCGATCGTTTCCTTCGATAGCATGTACGGTAGGGCTGCGCGTCTGTGAGCACGTAGTGTCGCCCTTGGGTAAGAATGATGCACGAACTGTCGTTTCCGCCGCGATTGAAACCCCCTCCGGAGTTCCCGCCAAAAGCTGCAAACCGGTTGTTCGACTGGCCTCGGGGATGTTCGAATCGGCAATTATCTGGGTTTGCCAGTGTCAGCGTGCTAGTTTTGCGCGTGTTCGGCCCATGACTGGGTTTGTTTTGGCTGGCCGATCGATGCGACCGGGGATGCGCGACGTACTTCCATACCTGCAGTTCCCCTGCTCGTAGAACTTGCAGACCACCATCTTGAGTATCGCGATCGAATCTGCTGCGCTTTTTGGTGCGTTTTAGCAGCGGCTATGTCATTTCGCTGGGATTGAGGCACGTCTAGGTGTAATTGGATCAATAATGATGGGGGAAAATGCTGTCAAAGGTCACCCGGCCGCGCAGATTGGGCGTCGAAAGAATTGTTTTCAGCCTTTCGCAGCCTTGTTCGCATCTGGCTCTAGCGCGTGTGAGCGGGCCAATGACAGAGCTCCGACGCGCTTGCATAAGCATTAGAAGGGCATAGTCGACTAAGATAGTGCATGTTATGCATTTATACACCACTCCATCATGTCCAGCTCACCCGCTCCAACCGGCCCCGCCTCACGCGGGTCGGAGATCGGCCTGCGGGAGACACTGCGGACCAGCAGCATTCCTTCTTTATCCGCGACGCAAACAAGCACATTGATTTCATTTTCTTTAGATACAACAACTGGTATTTTCTTCTTAGTATCGTGGAAGCTACAATATTCCAGAAACAATATCAGGGATATTTTGAGGTGGCGTTTGTATTGTCTCTTTTAAATATGGTCTTAAATCAGCCTGAGAAACTCATCAGGCTTTGAGTTTGGGTCAAACATAGATCTATGAGAATGAAATGACTAAATGACTACATCAAGTTCATATCCAAACGTTAACCCAATCACTGATTACTAGATAGACTGGAGATGAGGGTGAGAACCAGGCTGTTGTAGACGTTAGGCGTTGGACTAACCACATTAGTAACCCAAAACACACCTCAATTGCAGCTACTTACTGCGTGTTGGAACACAGGATCCTCCAAAAAAAAAAAAAAAAAAAAAAAAAAAAAAAAAAAAAAAAAAAAAAAAAAAAAAAAAAANGGAAAAAAGGACCCCCAAAAAAAAAAAAAAAAAAAAAAAAAGAAAAAAAAGAAAAAAAGTCTTGGTTGACCAATGACGAGACTTATCAGCGTCACCCATATTATCTCTCTCTGAAGAATCGCCGGTGGCTTCGCAGCCTGGTTCCGTTGCTGGGTGCTCAGTCGAATAACTACTTTCTACAACGCCGAAGCCCCTTCAAACTATGTTCTCGGCCTCTTAAGTTTTGTTTTACTGACATGTGCAAGCTGGACGCGATGTATGTCTACTTGCCAGCTTCCCCGTCCGTAGCATCACCTGCCGTCGATGCTCGAGATTCTCTCTCTGTTAATTCTCGATCTCAATTATTGAATAATGAGACCTCCACGCATGACAACTTTTCACTGAAACAATACGACCTCCAAAAATATCCTGCTGCAAAGAGCGCCACACACGCTATCAGGAGAAAACCATTGCCAACCTCTTCGACTCCACCTTACTCATCAATGCTTGACCAGGCAGACTCAAGTCGCGACGCCTCAATACTGAACAACCATGGCTTTAACACGTCGTCCTCGCTATCGTCTATAGTCACTGCCCGCCCGGATAGCAAAACTGTACCGAGTTTCACGAGGTATGGATGATCAACCTCGAATTTCACTTGTGCCCACACATTCTTGCACCAATGCCTTCCACTTAATTACAACAAATTTCTATCGCGTATCCACATCAGTTCACATTCGTTGATAGATTCAGCAGATTTACGCAAACCTTCGCCAGCTATTCCGAGTAAAGCAAGATCGTAAATTCAACATAAATGAAAGAAAAGCAAAATCAACCTAGAAACACCCGAAACAATCAAACGAGCAGCCACAACACCCCACTCTAAATAGAAAAACCCAGGAACCAAATTATTTATCCACCACTATCAAATGACTACCAGTTACCCCCCCAAACTCCACCAAAACCAATGCCCATAGACAACCCCCAACCACATTTTGGTCATATCATCAGCAAGTCATGCTGACTATCATCTGCGAAACTTCTTTCCCACTGCTCGCCCACGAGGTCCCTTGAAGCCTTTACCACCAAGAAGTGGCTTGCGGTGTCCAGCTTGGGCCATGGCCGGGCGGTGTCCGCCGCCATGCTTCTGCTTCATGTGCTTCCTGTGGTTGCGAATGACCGCGGAGATAGTTGCGAAGAAAACGAAAACTGCGTTCAGACCAACTGCAGTCCATGTAAGCGTGTGCAGGATGGTGCTGTCAGAAAAGACGATTGGCCCAGTTTCCAACCCCAAAGTTGAGGCCAGGTTTTCTTCGTTCCCGAGCAACGCTAACGCGCTCGTAGTGGTTGAAGCTGCGGCGCCGACTGCCATGAGACCGAATCCCATAAAAAGTCCGGCCAAAGCCATGAGAAACATGCTTATGGTCCGTCGTTTTGCTGTGTGATAAAAGAAGAGCGGAATGATGGCAAAGATACCGGAAAGAATCAATAACACGAAGGCGGCGATCATCCAATTACCGACGAAAACCTTCTCTTTGAGAATTCGGGCTGCGAGGAGAAGCGTTTCGAGGGCGCCGCGATTAAGTGTGGCATCATTCTCGAGGTTCAGTTCATCGATGAAGTGCTCCACGAGTACAGTGCCGTCTGCGCTACTGCCGTCATCATTGTCGCCATTATTGTCCGGAAAATAGTATATGCTCTTGCATTCGCTGATCGAGTTGGTCTCAGACCCTGTCTGAACCTGAGATCCGGAGTAGACACATATTCCTGATGATAACAGGATACGTCAATATATGCCGTTATCAAATATGGACTTTTCGCAGTACTTACCGAAGTATCCCAGGGTGATGTTCATCGTCTGTCCATCGCTATTGCTCAATCCGACAACGTAGTTGTCTTTCATACCAGTTGAGGATGAACCCCAAATAGCAAGCCCTACAGCTAGATTAGTCAAAAGAGAAAGAGAAAACAGCACGTGTACCGCTTACCATAGACGACCATGGCACACACCCACACAAAATAGGTGGTGCCACCCAGAACTGCTGATAGCTTCGCCATGTCGGCTAAATTGTTTATAGTAGAAAGGAAATGGAAAGCTGAAGATAACGGTGAGATAATGTTGAAGCGACAAGCTTGAGTCGGGAAAAGATCCTGACTATTAGACTTTGTTGGCTTTCGAACTTGGCGTTGGCCTCAAGCTTCAATGTTGTCGTGAGGCATTTGACTGATTATGTATTTGCGATTGCGTCTGTTCTCGGGGCTACAAGACCTGCAAGTGCCAGGCCACCAATGAGGAGATGAAGTCCATCAGCCGCATTGAGGTCTCGCCACTGTGATCTATGTTTATCCCTTCCGCCTCAAAGTCCCAGCCAGGCTGAGGCTGAGAGCGTCGGCAAGCCCCCTCCAGGCTCCCACTGACCTAGCTTCAGACCAAATGGTCTTGGCGATTGGGACAGGCCCATTGCCACAGCCTTATGCGTCCTTAAGTCATGGTCATAATTATTCGGGGGCCAGAAGTTGACCGCCTCTCCCCGCATACCCCAGAATTATGACAAGTGACGATGGCAAAGGATAAAGCGGGCCAGTTCATTGGCCCAGAACAGCAAGAACAGAGCAGGCAGAAAGCAGATGCCGGCTGCAGTCAGCGCCAAGGTAAATGGAACAAATTTGGAAATAATGTTGATGTATGTACGGTGGTCGGGGAAGGCGTCATGTCCCGTCTGCAATGCAGTCAGCACAACCGTAGCGGCGCCGAAGACAAATAGGTAGGGTGCCCCAAAACGCGCGAAAAAAGTGGCGTAGTTGTGATGAACCTTCTGATAGGACTTCAGCCGAATTACTCTATGCCACAGGTTGAGTCGCGTGAGCCGGATCTCCCCATAATGATACCGTGAAGAGACATCCCTATCCCGCAGGGTGGTAAACCCTCGAATGAAGAGACACCATATGTCCCAGTCGACAAAGTCAGGTAGAAGCTTCTCCGTTCTTGCAATCTCGAAGTCTGATTCGTGAACAATGAGTGAGGAGTATGTCCGAAGGAAGCCGAGCGCGTCAAGGATCAGCCGATGACCATCTTTATCCAGAGCCTCATCGATAGCCGCCGTCCAAACACCGTAACTGAAGAGAAACTTCGGGACTGGCTTGATGAATATTCGGTCGTAGTACCAGACCAGATGCAAATCTGGACGCTCGGTGATGCAGATGCGCCGGCTGTTGAAGATTTGCTGGTGTAGCGGGTTGATGTTGTGCCGGTTTGATACCAGGAATAGCATCCAGTATAGCCGTCTCAGCCTTTCCGTGGATAATTCTCGAAGGAGAAAGTTTTTTACTTCCGGGTCGTTGTCCATTGGGATTGCAGGGTAGCCCGGTATAGAGCTCTGTAGCTGAACCAGCTGACTCTGCTCATCGAAGGGGATGGTGACAGCCTCCTCGATGATGGATCCCATCTTGACCAGATTTGGCGTTTCTGCTGATAATTTGAACTGAAAACATTGAGCAAATCTGCGGCTCTCATGCAGAAGAATGCAGCTCAATAGTGTTTTAACCTGTCTCGAACGGGGCTGACTTAAAAATGGTAAGCTCATGCCTAAATGAATGAAGACGTGACATGCGGTTCAACCCTGCGAAGCTGAAAAGCCTTATCGGGCCGCCCGAAAATTCTGACAACTTGATGCAGGCATACCTGACAATACTCCCTCGACATGATGCATCGTACGGTGAAAAGTCTTGCGACGTGAACACCGAACCTCTTAACAGGCAAGCGACAGGACGCCATCAAATTGCGAAAAAGCCACTCAGCAGCCACGGGCCGCCGCTTGCAACCACAAGAGATGCCACCGGTCACCAATATCATGGGGGTCGGAGAAGGCTGGCCAGTGGGGAGTGAAGTGCTTAGTGACGACCTGACCTCTGTAGGAAAATGCAAGTTTGGCATGTAAGGGTGTGAAAGCGCATGAGCGAGGCGGACGAGGTGGTATTGCATGAACATGCATATGTGTGGGGTGGGGGCTCTCATAACTTTGGGGTACTCGAACTAGATGTACCTTTGGTTTTCTCATGAGGCACCAGAACTGCACCGATGAAGCTTCAGCGAGCGCCAAGACAGTCAGCTCTGGGCGAAGTTTTGCTCCAGCCCCGAACTTGTGGAAGTGTAAGCCGCCGCTTCATCAGCCTGATCGTGAAAGGGAATGTGCTGAATGATGTCGAAGCCATAATGCCCTTAATAATATGCAGGCAAGCCAAGGGAGTGCCCGCAAGAAGCCTGCGTTCCAATCACTTGAATAATTCATGTTCTAATATTTTTCTTCATCGGTATCGTTCACGAATCATTACGAGTATCCAGTATTGCGGTTGGAATCGTGTGTTTTCCAAGACTTCAAATCAACATGGAGAAGCCTTCAGCAGACCAGCCCCGAGAAGCAAAGCCAAAGGCGTCAAGTGGAATTGAAAGTCTCATCAGGATACCTGAAATCAAGCGACAGGACCTTGGACTCAAGGTTCTGTATGAGAATCAAGATGTAGACGAGATTGAGGTTGAGTGAGTCTTATCTCCCGAAATATGAATGAAGACCTAAGCTTTTGAGGATGGTCACTAACTTACATGCCACCAGCATCGTGGCTGTCCACGGTATCATGGCCGACCCGAACACGACCTGGACCCACAAGAAAACCAACACCAATTGGCTTTCTGACCCATCAATGCTCCCAGAATCATTGAAAGGCCACAGAGCAAGAATTATGAGTTTTGGATATGATTCAAGATGGTTTGGAAAAGACTCTACGAGGCAATCTCTGCACAACCTTGCAGAGGACTTCTTGTATCAGTTAAATCAGACTAGAGAGGTATGCCTGATGTTCGCAACTTGGACGATAATCATCGTGCGGATAACTGATGTCAAACACGTTAGGCATGTACTCAGCGTCCAATGGTCTTGATTGCCCATTGTTTTGGCGGACTCATCGTTCAGAGCGTACGTAATGACCGAGAAATTCTGCTCACTGACTGTAGCAACTTACTAACAGCTTTACAGGCTTACAATAAGTCGTGCATGCAACCTGGAGACTTCCCGGGAGTTTGGCTGTCAATGAGAGGAATGGTGTTTCTCGGGACGCCCCACTCTGGTGTCAACGAAGGCTCCTCCATGTCCAGACAAGGCGAGATTTATGCGGCTATCGCTGCTAGCAAGATGGAAATACAAGACAATGTGTTGCAGTCCATTATTCGGGATAACGATATCCTCGAGAGCACCCGCGCCGAATTCACAAGGAAGGTTAGCACGTCTAAGCCGCCACCAAAGATCTTCTGTTTCTTTGAGCTCCGGCCAACCAATTTGGGTGCCATTGTTGGAGCGCAACTACCAAAGGTAAGCAGTCGAGCAAGAATAGTACCCTCTATCCTGAAAAAGTTTTACTAATGCTGCCGTTGCAGGAGTTTCTAGTTGGCGAGTCGTCGGCAACACTGAGTGGGCATGAGAGACAGGGACTCGCTGTAGATCATTTCTACATCAACAAGTTTGAAGACAAGTTCGACAACCACTATCGCAACGTGGCTTACCAACTCCTGAAAATGGTGAAAGAAGCCAAAATGCATTCACAAGATGCAATGACTGGTACGGGAAACTCTCCATTGAAACAGAGAATTCCGTCTAATCGTTAATCAAAGCCTCAGGGAGTACCCCACCGCCTCCTTCAGATGGTCGAACGTCTGTGTTGCCTGGCCTCATTGGAAAGCGTCAGAATTTCGCTCCACGTCAGAACATTTTGGATCGACTTGAGGAAAGACTATCCAAAAGAGGCATGGCTGCCTTGTGCGGAGACTCAGGAAGCGGGTAAGTTGACTACCTTATTGACGACAAAATGCTCGAAATGATTCAATTGACGTGATGATGTGTCCAGGAAAACCCATGTTGCAGTGGAGTATGCCAACCGATATTTGCATCAGGTTGGTAACAACTGCAATGTCTTCTGGGTCAACGCTGCCAGCCCAGAGGAATTTGAAGCATCATTTAAGAGAATTGGAGCTAAGCTCCGTGTGTCACCCTTGGGGCTCAGCCATGAAGCGTATCTTTCTGCAGTCAAGGAACACTTGAAGCACGAAGAACAGTGGTTGGTGGTTCTGGATGGTCTCAACGATGACGAATCCCTGCATTCCACCAACTCAAATCCAGGCCAAGAGCCGAAGCCACTACTCTCTTTCCTGCCGAAACCTTCGGATAATCACAGGCTGCTAATAACCACTACGCAAAGAACTTTGGCCATTCGACAGATGAATTCGAAGGACAAGAACGTTCTATCAGTCGGTGACCTGGCCCGGGACGACGCTTCGCGCCTTCTTCTTGGAAGGGTCGCCAGCAGCTCTACCAATGGAAAGCGTATCGAAGAGATCATCAACATCGTCGGTGATTCTGCCGGTGCACTGGAGCTTGTGAGACTGTGCAGCATTGTCACTCAGACACCCGTTTCTTCCCAGCTTCTCGACCTCTTGCGTAAGAATTGCAAGGGGAGCGAGAATGGGGAAAGCCCAAAACCGGCCTGGAACCTGCTTTGGAATTCTCTCAAATCAAAGAACAGTGAGCTGGCATATTGGTTTCACTTCGTCGGGCTTCTGGATCTCCAGATGATACCCAGCATCTTCTTCTCTAACAACGAGAGGAAGACCTTGCTTGAAGAGCTCACCAGACTGGGCTTGGTGGAGCATTCCGATGGACGAAGTTTCTACCGAGTAGCAGCATTCTTTCGCCAATGTCTTGAGTCTACGATCACCGAGAAACACCGGCAGGATGCAGAGGCTGCATTGCTGCAGTCCGCGAACACAAAATTCGTCGACGATGACCGAAGCCTTCTCCTTCCGGTCGCCTTAGCCGCTTTGAAGTTGAAAGCCACTCGTCTGGACGCCAAGAGAGAACAAGAAATTTTACGCGAAAAGGTGGAAAGCTACCGACAACAGCGCCAAACCAGCTTGAGCCCGGGCATTGGGTATCTGCCTGATGATCCTAGAAGGTTGCCCATAGGCTCTGGCTGGGATCAACTACGGCTAAGAACCCTCGAAGGCTCATTAAACCAGCACTCAGGCCTTCCTAACCCTCATCAGCGTTCTATCTCTGAAGATAGTAGTAGGTGGCCGTCGTGGCAGCGTCTGCAGCGGAGATTGATGGATCCAGAATGGGAGAAGAAGCGTGAAACACTCAGGAAGGACAGTAGCGTCGCTGCTCAAATCCTGTCTCAAGGTCGCCCACCGAAAGGCTCTGAAGATGCAACAAGTATCTACAGACGTGTGATTGACGGCTACTCCGCTGAACCTGAAGAATACATCAAGTTGGCAAGCTTGCAATACAACTTGGCCATCGCACAAGGCTCAGAGGGGATGGTAGATGATGCAGCTACTACTTTTCGCCAGGCACTCCAGACCATCCTTTCTGGGGATGACCCCAAAAGTCGGAACATCGAGGCAACAAAGTTGTACTACCGGATTTACACCGACCTTGCGAGCATGTACGTCTCCGACGGGCGCTTCTCTGAAGCTGAGGAGACATTCATGCACTTTCTTCCAAGTCAGGCCAAAGACCTGGGACAAGATAGTCAACAGACTCTGAAGACGCGACATGAGTTTGCTCGCCTACTTCAAGAACGTGGCCAAGGCGAACTTGGCGGCCAGGAACTTGAGAGAATTCTCAAAGCCAATGAGCGTGTGCTCGGCAGCAATCACCGGGACACCCTTACGGTACGATGCAGCTTTGCGACGCACCTTGCGAAGACTGGAAGACAGGATGAAGCTGTCAAAATGTTGTTGTCTGTGTGGAGGGAGCAGGAAAAGGCGTTGGGAAGTTCACACCGTGAGACAGCTGCTACTCGGCAGCTGCTGGACGAGCTTCACCAGTCACAGCCTGTCGTCGCCTGATGACACTGGGTGTTTTATGTTTTATGTTTGATTCCTTCTGGTGTTTTTGCTGCATGATCGTTTCCTTTATGCCCGTGTTCTGTCGCTATCGTCATTGGTAATAGAATACTTCAACTTTGTCTTCCTCATGCATTACAATCATGACCATTGTCCGATCTGGGAAAGATGTACCAAATTATGGAATGTACCGCAAGTTTAAGTTCTATTCAATCAAAGTCTGCGAGACCGCCTGAAATTTCTATAGCTGCGAATAAAGCTTTCCATACACTCCATTAACTGGGAAATAACATGATCAAGGATACTAGTGGTAATCTCAACAAGAATATTAGGAAAAATATGAGAATGACGCAGATGAGAAGAACGTTAAAAACAACACTGCTAGTAAAGACTACAACCGTCAGAACAGCAATAACGATGGTAGCAACGACAGGAACAACAGGAACAACAGGAACAACAGGAACAACAGGAACAACAGGAACAACATGGACCACAGTGTCGACAGGGACTTTAGCAACAATGCGACGAAAGCGACGACAGCGATGATAGCAAGACAGGATACAGATGGGCTTATGGGAAAAGCAGCCGCTCTAGCACAGGGATCTTGATTCCTCTCGTATAGTGAGACATAGTAAGGGAGGTTTAAGAGAGGTATGAATGCAGTTATATCCTATTCTCTACAACGCTACTGCAATGCAATTTGCTCCCTATGTCCAGGCTATCTCCATGTATTTTATGTATCATCTTTGGCCCCTTCTCTGCCGATTGTAACCGCCAGATGTTGGGTTATCATGAGTTGTAGGCTGCTGATTTTGTCGGCGTGCATTGCGTGCTTCGGCTTGCTGCGCGGCCGCAGCCGCCTGAAGCATACTAGTCTGTTGCTGTCGCTCGAGTCTCAGCTGGTGCTGCTTGCCCTCAATTTCTGTTCTATGTGCCGCCTCTTCTTGTTCACGTCGCAATTTGTCCGCATGGTCTCGATTACGAATGCGTCTCCGCTCTTGGTCCACTCTCCGACGAGCATCCTCATCCAAAACAGCCTTTGGCATGCCAACGGCCCCAGCCGGCTGAAGTGCCTCGAGCTGATGTGGTTCAAATAGGGCAAAGAAACGATCTTGGCAGGATTTCTCTATGAGAAGACGCATCAGGTGCGGGATATGGCTAGGATCGCCCCGATAAAGCTTGTGTTTGAAGTACATGGTGGCTGAGTAGGCGTATTTGATCGAAGATTTAGTGTCCACATGAGTGAAAAGATTATTATCGTGGTTGATGTATCGCCACATCTGGATATCGAGCAACGCCTTCGTGATGTGATACGGTCGTGTATTTTCGAGCGCCAGGAACAGAGCATTCATGCTTTTGTGGGGGGCGAACGGATCCGCCTTACCCTTTTCAAGAGTGCGGATGGTATCTTCTAGCTCAAGTGAGATATTGCTGCAGTTGCTGCGATAGCAAAGTTCTTGAAGCGCCGTGCGTCCTTCATGAAGGCTGCTGGGGAAGTTCGGTTCATGCTTTGCCTTAATGAGGACTTTGATGACCTCGCTGTGCATGTTTCTTGCTGCCTCATGAAGACTGCCGTCATTGGGTGCAGCCTTCGCTTTGAGAAGAGCTTGAGCTGCAGTCGTATTGCCTCTGCCGGATGCGAAGAAGAGTGCAGTACGTCCAGTATTGTCGCGATCACCTGGCTTGGCCCCGGCTTGAAGTAGCTTGACAAGAAGTTCGGCGAGACCGAGCTGGGCCGCAACTATCAATGGCGTAACCCCCGAGTTGGACCGAAAATTGACAACGTCCCCTCGAATTTGTAAGCCTTCATCCATCATCAAGTTAGGGCTAGACGTGACTTACGATGTGCTTCAACTAGAGCCACTAGCATTGATGGCGTAATGCCAAGTTTGTCGTTCTGGAAGAGTGCCCATACAGGAAGGGGTACCCATTCCTCACCACCGCCCAACTTCATACCAATTGAAGCGTTCGCTTTACAACCCAGTTGTATGAGACGCTTCAGGAGCCCCTCGGCCTTTGAGTGGGTCGATATGCATGCCTGTAAGGGGCAGCGGCCGTCAGGGAGCAAAGCCTCGACGTCAAATCTCGTTCGACTCCGTTGGCAGGCCGCAATCAAGATGCCAAGAAGACACAAAGCTGTTGTCTCGTCCATCTTGGACGTTATGAGCGTTTGAAATGTGTTGGTCAGAGCCAGTCGTCCGGCGTTGATCAAGCTCAGCTTCTTCAAAAGGGATATATGGCCACGGCTCGCCGCAATCTGCAAAGCTTTGCCGCCTTGGTCGTTCACATCAGCACCCCGGCCAACTCGAAGCAGTGTTTCAATAAGATGCTCCCGATCATGGCCTTCAACATGTGCGCTGACAGCATTGATCAAGGCTTGATTCACACTGGCGCCTTCGCACCCCCATTGAAGCAATGAGTGAATGAGCCAGAGGTTCGTGGGCAGCTGCCAATCTGAAGAGGCTGCAATAACGAGTCTTAGTACTTGCTCGAGGGATGCGGGGTTCGTTGCCGTTGCCAAGAGTTGGACAGCATCGCGATTGTAGAGGCAGGCAGCTCGTGCCGTTGCGCCATCGACCTTGGGACCCGATGCACCATGGTCCAGGAGGAACTGAATGATGTAAAGGCCCTTTGGAGACGCCCATGCATCCCCGTCCTTTGTGAGAGCGCTAAGCCCACCGCTAAAGATCGCGGGAGAAGTGATGAACTCGGACAGATACTTCAGGACATCCAGGGCGAGATTCCTTGAAGCCGCAGCTACAGCAGCGCCTTGTAGGTACTCGCTCTTTGCAATGTTGGCGCCTTCGACAAGCAGCCTCAAGGTTGAAAGTCGAGCGGCCGCCACATCCATCTTCATTGTTGCGTCGATTGACAAGGCGAGGGTATCCAACGAAGGGTCATGCTGTAAGAGTAAGCGTAGTATATTGGCTCGATTCGGGCTGAGTGACTGCAGCACAGCGCTGCCCTTTTGGGCATTGACATCTGCGCGACCTTTCTTGAGGAGTAGCTGGATGATTCGGAGTCGATCATCTTCATTGGCAGGCGGTATCGACCTACTCAACACGCGACAGACAGCGTCAGAAACGGCATCTCCTCTGATATCCGTTGAAAGAAGCATCTCAATCAGACGATGGGCCATCTTCACGTCATGTAAATCAGTGGCCTGTTTGAGGACCGAAGCCAAAGTCTTCGGGGACAACCTTCTCGATGTGTTATCAGAGAGAAGCTTCTGTATTGTATCGATGCGACCGGAGTTGACAGCCGACATCAGGGCAGTTTCGATGCTTGTTGCGGAGGCTGAGTCGACAGAGGGCCCGTTGACAACAACTAAGGTTTGCGTCGTGGTCGCGTTACTCGATGTGTTGGAGTCGTTTGCAGCAGCGTTGATGCATGCTTGTTGTATTCGGTGCTGGTTATGATCGCGAGCACACTTTGCTGCCTCTTTCAGAAGGGTGGAATGCTGCTTGGTTTGGGTACGAGAAATGATTGCAAAAGCAATATCCTCTTTGCCTCTGCGTATCGCTTCGAGCAGAGCTGCCCCTCCCTGGAAGGAGATGTCCGCCCCCTTATCCATGAGAAGAGTTGCCTTCCTTACACTCCCTGCCTTTCCAGCGCGCACAAGGCCTTTGTTCTTGCATTCGCGACAGGCTCCCTTGAAATCTCGTAAGAGAAGGAGAACCATATCAATCGGTGCCGAATCAACGCATTTGAGAAAGAGTTCGCAATGGGGACTAGCATCAGCACCTTTCGCGAGCAGGATACTGGTCTTGACGGGGTCGGTGATACGAAGAGCGACAGGCACCGCTTCGTTAATTGCTTGTTCATCCGCATCCTGAGCAAGGACGATGAGGATGTCGCTTGAGCAGTTCTTGGTAGCTAGCGAGAGGACATCACTGCGCTCCTCGATCTGGTCCCTTCCGGAAAACACTTTGAAAAGGTTCGTACTCTTTGGTTTGGCTATGGACACGTCGGCTCCATAATCTAGCAGCGCCTGAGCTAGTCCTGGTGTTGCATTTGGAATGAGGCCCTGGGCCAGTTTGGACAGTATTGGATTTGCTTCTTTGTAGCCGTAGTTGCCCGATCGTCGGTTTCCGTCTTCTTCGCGTTGATCAATCATCAGCTGCTCCACTCTATCATAGTCCTCTTCGGTCGGGTCTTGAGGTTGATGATTTAGACTGGAGAAAGCTCCGACGACTGAAGGACTGAGGGACAATGTCCATCTCATTGGAGCTACCGCCGCATCTGGGGGCTCTGACTGAGTCATGGTTGAGATTGCCATGGGTGGAGTGAATGATGGTATGTTGCAATGTTCGTTGCTTATCAGGCAGCGTGGTGAAAAAACAAATCTTGGTAAATATTCTGTTATGCGATGTGGGTTTCCAAAACCAGCGGATCATATCAGAGGAGCTGTAGATCTATTATTCTCATCGAAAATTTCGAGAAGTTCAAATTCACCGTCTGATTGACTGGGGATGCTGCGAGACCCTGAACCAAGCCTCATTGTTCTCTCTTTCACAGCCTGATCTTCTTTCTTGACATAGCGAACTGAAGCATGTAAGCTCAGCCCATTGCAGCCCACCACTCTCTGCTTACTACTGCATTGTGCAGTTTCATGTGGGGGCTAGATATGTCATCCTCACTCCATGGTGTGGGGGGTACCTCGTCCTTAAGTATCTCATGTAGTCACTTCGGCCATGCAGCCTGATCCAGGACCCCGCCAAGACAATATTTCGACGCCTGCATGACACCTGCAGTCCTGAAGGTTGTCTAAGCCAACAGGCTCAACCGCGCCGGGACGAGTTTGATGTGATGGCTTCATGGATTTCTAATTTCAGTACGCGCTGCAGACGCGCTGGACATGTCTCATCCGATTCATGTTCATCGCTGTCAAATGACGATTAGTCTGACACTGATGAGCCTCATTCGAGGCTAAGAAGAATGCTGTACAGCCTGGGTCTTACACGGCTATGTCCCAAGCGGGCGTCTGAGTGGTCGGCGCCTTAGAGAGAAGATTCTCGCCGACGGCATCTCAACTTCGAGGCCTCTTTTATACATGTGGGCTTCTTTTCATCAGGGATGGAATGGCGAGATTGATTCTGACGAAAATTTCGTTCCTATTCATTTCACACCCGAAGCTACACGAATTTTAAGACGCTTACACTGGTCTTGACCCGGGAGGACAATTCTTTCCAGCGTGAGCCTATCTTGTCTCTTGCGAACAATATACTCTCTTGTCACGAATCTTCTGCAACCCCTTATCACGATACCAAACATCCATAAGCTCCGTGCTTTGAAGAACATACTCGCAAAAATGAGTTCTCATCCATCAAACCAATCCTTTTCTTCCTTCACGGGTCCCGGAAATCAGACACAACCACTCCATCCTCCTACTCTGAGGCCTGGATTTCCCAGACCTAGCCCTGATGGCGATGTCAACGGCACCTATGGCCGTCCATCGCAGGTGGAAGTCACGATAGGCTCAGCTGAGCATGTCTTCAACTGCCTTCGTGGAGGTCGGGGTCTGGCATGCCCTCACTTCCCAAAGTATACCGCTGGGACTCTCACCGTTCATCGGGATTACCCAAGCCGACTTGGATTCTTTCATGCTTCCAATCCCAAGGGGTTCATCAGCTACCTGGAAACAGCGAAGTTCTGCCCGAACTGCCTCGATCAAGTAGTTCCCAATGGATACAACTACTGGACGATGATCCCAAACGGCGACGGCCGAGCCATTGAGGGCCGCTGGCTAGAGACAGCCATGTCATCGCAGATGTATCCACGGCTGTACCAAGCTGGAACCGAGCGCTTCGACCAAACAACTCTTCGGCCGCAGTCTGTTCCTGGCAATCTCATTACTCAACCAAAGGAACTCCCTATTCCCCAGATCGCCGAGGCCCATGATGCGTGGCGGTGGATGCAATCTCAAATGAAGCCTTTCTACATCGACGCACTTCACCTCACGAACGGTTGGACTCCATTTGCCGAACTATCAGCTCAAGAGGACTCCAGAATTGCGAGGAGAAGCGGACAATCTTTCGTCATGAGCCGATCCTCTGGGGCCATCAAGGACTTTGCACAGCGGCATGTCACCCAAGACCATTCCCCCCTCCCCAACATGAGTCGCTCTTCGGCACCGCAGCCTTCGTCCGATGTCCCAATCGCGAAGGGAGACAATAAACAGTCTGTTCCGACCTCTATTCCGACTTCCATTAGGACCAACCCAAATATCACTGCTACCGCAGCTTCTCCAATCACACGGAAGGCGGTGCCAGGCACTTCCACTCATCCGGATCTATACCACGCATCCTCTGTTCCTGACATGCAACAGCGAGCCGGTGTCGCAACTTCTACGGCAACCCATTTTGCAGCTGGAGTCGCAAACAGTGAGACCACACTGATGACGAACACGGCCACTTCTGCTGATTCAAGATTGCGATCAACATCCGCGAATGGAATGCGCGCGGTACCACAGCCAGGGTTTGACACGGCAACCAACGTGAAGCAGAAGCCGCAGGTTTTGAGTGGCAGCAATCGTCCTGGCCATGGGAGCCTGCAGGATGTGCGACATGTTTCGGCAGGATTACCGCGCCCTCAAAGCAGTCGTCCATCTAGCTCTATGTTGAACCAACCCGTCCCATCCCCTATGCACATATCGACTGGAGATATCAAGCCACCACGAATGGCGGCCCCGAGCTTCAATACAATCACTGCCACCGGGAATCAGCATCCTAATATAGGACCCCAAAACTTGAGACCAACCGAAGGCTCAATCAATCCACCGCTCAGGAAGGCCAATAAGCCTACTGATGGGAAAATACAGCATATGGCTCATGAGACGAAGACCCAGGGCAACAATAGCCAAGCGAGTGTCTTTAAGTCAAGATTGCAAGGTTCTGGACCAGGTAGCAAGACCAGGCCTTCAGGATCAACCACGTACCGCACCAGTAGTTGGTATCGTCACGATCCAATCGACTTTGATGAGTTGGATTCTGGTCCGACAACAACAGTGCCACAGCAGCTACCAGCGCCAATGTCTAGCAACTCAGCGCCACTTCCAAGAGTTATTGAACCAGGTATTGGTACAAAGATCGTGCCAGCTACCTTGGATACCGCCCGAGTCACGGAGATTTTCCGACTCTTTGAACCCAATGCGCAAACGCGATCTACGCAGCCAAGCGTGACGCAAGGGACCGCAAACAAGGTCGCGAGTGGGATCCCGCCGCGACATCCAGACAGACCCAAGAAGCTCGTACCAACAACTCAGAGCGCTTCGAAGGAGATGGCAGGAAAGACGCCAACGCCCCAACTCAAGCAGACTCAAGCCGCCCAGAAAGGGTTTCAGGCGGCGCCTCCCACCATGACAGCTCAGCACGTGCGGGAGGGCCAACCTCCCAAGTCTGTTGCGCGCCACCCTGACGCGGCAACTCCTGCTCTCAGAAACACTCCGGCGGCACAAAAGGATCGCTCGAGGTCCGCTATTGATACCGGCAGGGCTAAAGCATCCGCCGACGACAAGCGAGCCACGGGTCTGAGTCAAACAGGGCCGAAACCCCCACACAATAAAGTCAGCGGCATTAAACCAACTAAAGCAACCCCGAAGAGGGAGTCTGGTCGGGCAGCGTCGAGTGAGCGCAAAGGGTCCAGAGTTTCAGGGAAGGAGAAGAAGACCTCTAGATTGGAAGGCCCAAAGCCTCAAAAGCCTCCACGCAAAGGGAACAAATCCAACGGTTTCGCTTCGACTCCTGGCAAGCACGGAGAAAACAGCAGCCACATCACCAACAATAGCTCCGTGACAAACTCAACGACTAATACCACCATTCATATCATCGGTGGAGACTCCGAAGATTCCGAATCGGAGCCGGATACCACAGGCGATGACACATCTGGAGACGAGACCGATGGAACTGGCGACTTCCCTGAGGCTATTGGTGTTGATACGTCAGTGCCATCTTCACCAGTTGGTTCAACCGGGCAACATCCTCCGGGACAATCAGATTTGGGCAGTTCCTCCAACAACAATGAAGAGCCTGGTCAACAGCCTGAGGTGACGTCTCATCCATCATCTCCGGCATCTCAAATTGGTGGTCAAACACCAATCTTCTCTGGTCAGCAAGCCCAGGTTCAGATTCATGGTCACGGGGTTCAGCCAGGGACCGGCATAGACACATTGCCAACAGCCACCAATCTCCCCACTCCACTCATTTCCCAGCAGTTTTCAAGTGAAGGCTTTGGCCAGGGCTTCCGACCTGATGCCGCAGATAGCGCAATAACCTCATCCAATGGTATGCAGTCTGCCGCGGGGGCTGTCATGGTCGGAGGACAAGGCTCAGCGCCCACCTACTCGACGCAAAATCCACTACCGAGATACACCCAGCAGCCTGTGTCTCATTCAGAATACGAGGAAGGTGAACAGATGGGAAATGCGCCCCACGACAATCAGCATTGGAATCCCGCGCCATCGGGGCCACCGGCCTTTTCAACCGGCAATGGCAGTCATCAGTTTTCCAATCATCCCAGCCAGAATTCTGAAACTTCATATCCTGGTATGGACAGCGACAACCAGGTGCAGCCAGGCTGGAGGGCAAACGCGGCTGGCGATGTGTCTGTCGGTAGTTCATATACAACTCCAGTTGGGACAAAGCCCCAAGCAAGTCAGGGACTGCCCCCGGTTGCCGCAGCTTATGCGGCATCCGAACAAAAGCCCTCAGTGCCAGCCTCCGCCGCTGCCGGAGGATGGCCTCCAAAGAAAGCAGGATTTGATGCCGATTCTTACGCTGTTCCCAGTGCTGAGATGGATCTCAAAGAGCAGACTGAAGATGCAGGGCACATGTCAGCCGCTCAACCGGGGTCGCACTCAGACCAAGTCGAATCATCATCGTGGCCGGTGGAAACTGGACAGGGCCTGAATCAGAGCTACTCTTCTCCGACTACGGCGCAAGCTCCTGACCCTTCGTACGACCCATGGGCAGCACAAACAGGGGCTTCACAGCAGTCGAGGACAGACCCATGGGGAGGAGTACAGACTGCAGGCATGGCCAAGCCAAATTCAGCCTGGGAAAATTCAGCCTGGAATTCCCAAGCTGAGCCCATGTCTCCTGGCCCATCAGCAAAGCCTAACACCTCAGATATCCAAGCGTGGCAGCCACAGAGAAGTCCTTCAACAGGGGAGGGTCACTATTCCTCTCCTAGTGAAGATCAAAATGCAAGTTGGGCAGATTGGACCAATCGTAATAATGCTCCAGCCGCCGGAAGGTCCCAAGCATCTCAGGTTCCTACATGGCAGGCTCCGGCGCCCTATGCAGAACAAAGCTCGCACATGGGTCCTTATGGCTCTCGACAAGGACCCGATGAGCATCAGCCTTTTGCACTTGGAGGCCAGCCATCCCCGAACTACGACAGCAGAACCAACAGATTGACAGCAGCTGCCTTGGGTTTGGCTGCGGGAGCGGCTATCGGTTATGGAGTCGCTTCCTTGGCTCGCAGCTCATCCACATCGTCTGCATCACCAAAAACTTCCGACCAGGGAGATAACGAACAGGAGCCATATAGCAACCAGATTTGGAACAATTCATATGGACAAAATGGCACTCTCTACAACGATGAAAATGATGCTGCTCAAGAGACGAGCAGTATTAAAAGTGTAAGTTCGTCGGCGCCATCAGATCAGGAAAATACAGGCTGGTTAGCACAAGAGCAACAATCGGTGAACAGCAATTGGGATCAAAATGGCGACAGCAGCCACTACGCCGACTTGTTCCATCACGGAGACGTTTACAAGAACGATTATCAGCATTCCGACGACCGGTCCATGACTCCGGATCAATCTTCGCCAACATACCACAACGACGAACACTTTTCTCAGCAATCGAGCGAGTTTGAACAACCACACGCACACCAAGAGGTCTCGGAGAATGCTGAAGAGTATAGTTGGCCCGGTGAGGATAATACGTATCAGCAGTCGCACCAAGATCAGTACGAAAGTGAGAATGAGGGTACGTATGATTCGGAGCCCTCGGTCTACGATCCCCAGCCCGATCAAGGCTATGAGCCACAGGATCAGTACTTTCAACATCATGAATATGCGCCGGAGGCCTGTGAAGATTCGGATGGATTTAGGGACGACCAAAGTAATCCACAGACCGATGATCAGAGTGATAACCAAAGCGAGTCTGAGGACGGGTATGAGTATCCTTCGGGCAACGGTAGCGATGATGGGGAGAATGATGGTAATGGAGCTTACTCCGATGATGACTCGGACTAATTGAGAATAACCTCGCACGACAGCATGGACTTGTTGCATATTCTAGGTTTCTTTATAAGTCATTTGTTCTGGTTAGTTAAGGTAAACAGAAGAATCTCATGTGTAGTAATCATAGTCCATGTGGGAACCCGTGTCGCCTGATTGCCGATTCAGTAACAGAAACATGCTGCTCCATTTGCAACCATCTTACCAGCAATGTTAACCACCTGGTAGGTTTTCCGAGATCGGAACTCTGAGTCTGTTAGCGCAAGGGCTTCAGAAGAAATATGAGATACGCTGCATTTTGGGCGTAAGAATTGGTCATCCACGGCGGTCACTTCTTTTGTATATCAAACACGTCGCAGTTGTATTCTAAAGCACGTCGCCATCTGCACCTGAAATGGAGCTGGTATACTTAATCATGAGTGCATCCTGGGGCAAACACGGTCAGAAATATGTTCTGCAGCATTCTGATCTCGCTCGCCTCCTTCTTCTTTTGATGAAATCAAGGATTCGCAGTATCTCAGCATCCACCCATCAAACAGACCGGCCACGAGGCGTCAGGTACACCATTAGCTCAGGCTTCTCCCAAACAACCCACGCCTGTTGTCCCTGTGTCCAACTCTTGCTCTCGTCAGCCAGCCGCATTTCGAAGTTCCAGATGACTCTGGCCAGAATAGTTCTCATCTCAATATACGCAAGACTGGTTTCGAACACTTGTCAGCCGAAAGTCGCAAGAACTGAAACAGGCAACAACAGGGGTTCAACATACTTCATTCCAATGCAATTTCTGGGCCCGAAAGAAAAGGGCTTACGACCCTCTCTCTGATCGTTTTCGAACCGGGGATCGCCCAGCCAGCGCTCTGGAATAAAGGATTTGGGCTCAGTGAAGTTACGCGAGCTGTGGTACATTGCCCAATGGGGGATGCTGATAACGGTCTAGGGAGGTTAGTCATTGGACAGCAAATGCTTCTATCTGCCGGCACAGAATTGAGCAAGGATGAAAACTTACACCCTCGGGCACAAAATACCCACAAAACTCGTCGCCGCCTTTGCGTACCACGCGTGGTGATGTGTGAGGAAGCGGTGGGTTTAGCCGGAGAGTCTCATCCAGGACGGCGAGAAGATACGGGAGCTTCTGAACGGAGTGAACGTCAATGTCTTCCTCTCTTGGGAAAGCTGAAAGAACTTCATGGGTAAGCCGTTCCATGACTTTTGGATGAGACGTGACGAAGAACGTAACAGCAGACAGCGCCGTCGCCGACGTCTCGGACCCGCCCAGCATGAGAAGGAAGCTGTTGCTGTCTATCTCGCGCCTCTCAATCGTCTTTTGGGAGGAAATTCTCGTCAGCATATGCTATTTGACGTTGGCTTCGGCACGAAGAGACTTGCCTTTTCACCCTTCTGTCGGAGCATAGACTCCAAAAAGTCCGGGCGGGAACCACCTTCAGCGATCCGCTTCTCGACATTGGCTGCAGCCAGAGCAAAGTTCTCTTCTTCACCGCGGGACAGTTCCACTGGAATCAGTGTCTTCAACAGAGAGGAGAAGGGGGGAAAGCGCATAGCGAGACCGCGGAACATCTGATGCTTGACGGTGCGACCCAAGGCAGCGATCCAAGGATGATCTTGCTGCTTCGCAAGGCACCCGAGAGGCTCGCCCCAGGACAGGTCGCTGATGATGTCGAACGTGACAAGATTATACCACGTCACCATGTCGACGGGAGACGTACCATTTTTGCAGTGCTCGTGAAGCCGCCGGATGAACAAGTCGACGTGAACGGATATCAGTGGCTGCTGGTCGAGAATAGCCTGCATCGAGAACCCATGGGATAGGACACGGCGCATTCTGCTGTGATCCTCGAGGCTGGCTCCGAACAGGTTATGCTCATTACCCAAAGTCGCGAGCGGTTCCTTCACGTTTTCGGGCTTCGATCCTTTGCGGTGGCCGTTGCTATCCTTCCACGCGTCGGGGTGGATGAAAGAGAGCTCGTTGTCGGCAATCCTCACGATGGGGCCGTATTCGTCATGAAGCCGGAGAATGTCTTCGTGGGGCCGGCCGCCAATCTGGGATATGGCATAGCGGACTCGGCTCACTGTCCATGCCTTGGGACCAGGGAACCGACGCAGGGGGTGAAGGAGGATGTTGTACAGGGCCTTTCCGCAGACGTATGCCGTACACTGGCATCACGCGACGAATTTCAGCGTCAAAGTTCTGTACGAACTCAAGAAGAGAGAAAGAGATCATACCAACAAGGTGATAAAGATAAGGGCGGCTGGCGGCCAGCCCGCTTGGTACGGCGATGCGTCTGGAAGCTGTGAAGACATCGCTGTGTGCTGCTATTCCGTGGTTTCGATTATATTTCCTTGGGGGGAAACCCTATGAGAAATGTGTGGTTTGTCTTTTGTACGGTATGATGTAAGGAACATAACGCATCATAACGCATCATTTTTTGCTCCTTTTTATAAGCGCTCTCGGACATTGGAAATATGATGTCCGTCTCTGTAACTCGCGATGATGTCTTTACGGAAACCTCTAATCTCCGAGAGTACGTGTAACGACGAAAAGATTCCGACTGCCAATGAACGAAGACCTTTATTCATTCTCCCCTCTTTCAAGGATGCAAGACATCAGGTCGTGACGACTTGGAGTTAACACTACTTGAATGCCTGCCTCACCTACCGGGTGTGAGGCTCGAAAGTGGGGCACGTAGCAGTCTGCGGGCCGTGTTTGTGGGTCGGACTCCAGCGCAGCTCAACAGGTTAAAGACAACATCCCCACGACTTTTGCTCCCACCCGTTCCCTCTCTCTCTCTATTTCTTTCGTCAAAGCCTTAGATGGCCTAAGAGGCTGCAAAGTCTCAAAACTGATATGCGATATTTCTCAGCTCTACTCTTTGGCCAACCATAGTTGATTTTCTTCCTCTCTTGCTAGCCAGGTTAGATTTACATGTGGGGACCTTGTTGTCACCAATAACTCGACGGTGGTCTTGCCGTTTACTGCCGCCAGCCCGTCACAATCATGTCGGGACTTGGAGAAGAAAAACGAGAGATTTCAGCACAGCAGCATCTGCTCTTGGGCCACTATAATAGCGTGTTGATTTCACTCCCAGTAAGGCTGGCCTGATCGATTCCAGGGCAAAGTATCCTACATCTTCTCATTTCCTCAATGTTGAGCTTCGCGGTAGGTTTGGCAACCGTCATCAGTGGATTCTTGCGATGATCGTTGACACTTATAATAACAGCATAGCTAAGCACCCAAAGATGCCTTGAAGCGTGTACGTCTCCTCATTCGACTACGGAGGTACCTAGCTTCGCCAGCTGTAATAGAATCGAATAAAAACTTGAGGGAAACACTGAGTTGCTTCAATAATGTTGAGACAATCCGTCGTTCTAGACTTCCTCAGACCGTGCAGCTAAAGTACGGTACCACAGCCCGGAATGCCCAAATTTTCTTCTAGAGATCGAAGCCAGAGTGCTACTTTGCCAACCCAATATTGAAGTCTGTGTCCTGTCCATGACGAGCATTGCCGCCGCGGGTCCGACGGGCCCAGGCCAAAATCGGCGCACTCTGCACAGCCCGCCCACGGAGCACTCTCATATTAATTGTGATGCTCCCACATTGGGAGCTTCAATCGCAATACAAGAGGCCTATCACAGCACCCGAGGCGCATACACCTGCCATAAATGGCCTGGGTGAGTTCGACCGGCTAGTCTATACTAGCCAGCAAAACTCCACAGACCCGCGGGCCCCAGCACAGGCATGACACACGACTTCTATCGTAGAAAATGCATCTCGTCCAAAAGAGCTGTGAACGAACACCTCAAAAGACCTAATACAGGGGCGCCTAAGTACTTTCTGCTGAAGACTCAACCCCTACTTCACTTACTATGAGCACTCTCGAGTTATAAGTCCCTCTTGACACATGTAGCTGGGGGTCGTTGACAGCAGAAATGTAAACAAATTCGTCAATTTCTTCCTCAGTGCTTAAGACTGTGTACAAAATTGCAAGTTTATGCCAAAGAAGCAGCTACCATGGGCGCCAGCTGCTGGTCAACATAGTCCTGGTTTCTCCAGTCAGACCAGTCAGCCTTCAACAATCCCCAGCTCTCGTCAAAGTTCTGCGTGCCCTGGCGGGTGTAGTAGCTTCCAACCAACACCCAGATAAACCAACTGGCCTTGTACTCAGGCAGGTACTCCGACAAGCAGGTGGAGTACACATTCTGGTACGTGTTATCGTTCATGTTGAACCCAAACTCCGTCAGCGCGACAGGGAACACATTGACCGTCTCGGGGTCGCTGGCGTTCGCCGCCTGGAAGCCCTTGTGGTACAGGTTATACTTGAGGGAGTCGCAGCTGCCGATGGAGCCTTCGTAGTTGTGGATCTCGAGCACCAGCTTGTTGGCGTAGCCCTCGAAGTCGGCGAGGTTGAAGGTCTCGGTGCCGGGCTCGAGCGCGGTGCCCTCGAAGACGGGCGCGACGGTCGTGTCGTAATTGAGGCCGGACAGGTAGATGAGCACGTCGGGGTTGGCGCCGTTGATGGCGTTGGTGCCCTGCTGGATGTACTTGTACCAGTCTTGCCAGTGGTAGGAGGCGGAGACGAGGTCGGGGTTGTTGGTGGCTTGGCGGAGCTCGTTGCGGAGGGACATGGCGACGAAAGCGGGCCAGGATTTGCCCTATGAAAGGTCAGCTATCTGTCGAGATTGAGGAAGATGGTGTTGGTGACTTACGTGGTTCGCCATGTAGGTCAGGCCGCGGACCCAGTTCGTCGCATTGAACTCGGTGTCACCCCACCAGGTGTTTCCGTCGTCGCCGGAGCAGCACCACTTGCCCTTGGACATGTGGTTGTCGAGGAGGATATAGACTTGCTGCTTCTCGCACTCGGCAGCGATGGCGTCGTAGACCTTTTGCCAGTTAGCTTGGCTGCTGACAATGATGGTATGATAGACTCACCTCGAGACGGGTGGTTGCCTCCGTGAAGGAAGGGTTGTTGGCCAAAACCTGAGCCAGAACGGCAGTGCCGTTTGTCTCACCGAGACCGTTGACGAAGGCGGTCTTCAGGTCGATATCCTTGCCATCGTTGGCGTAGATCTGGTCGACAAGCTCAATGGCGTACGTCAGGCGAATGGCGTTCATGCCAATGCTCTTGACCTTCGAAACGACGCCCTCGACAGAGAGGAATTGCAGACCCTCGGGGACCATGACCTCGCCATGGCCGGGCCAATTGGTACCGGCGAACACGATGCGGTTGCCAGAGGCATCGACGGCCTCGCCTCCGTTAGCCACAAGAGGGCCATTGGGCCAGCTCTGCCTGGTGTTGTGGGGAAGAGCGGCGCAGAGGCCGGCGAAGCCGACAAGGGTGCTCAAGAACTTCATTGTGAGGAGCCTAGGACTGAAGAGCGACGCGTCCGGGAGGTTGTCGCGACAGACAGGAGCTATGGTATCATTCCGCGACCCTCTCCGGCTCTTATATCACTTCGCATCGCATACGACCACCAGCCAGCCATCCATCTTCCCCTCACGGACCGAGAACGGGACCTGCGTCTTCCCCCAAGACCCAAGACATCAACACTGACATCACGAGCATTGGCAAAACTTCCCCCTCTCCAGACTATTCCCTGAAATGGAACGCGCCAATGTTCATGACTAGCACTCAACCATGGCCGCAGCGGGGCATCTCTCGGGCGACCCTCAGGCGATTGGGCTCGGGGGTTGCTTTCGCCCGAGAACACGAGGACAGCCGAGGCCGCGCAACTCCCAGACTCAATCTCCCTCCGGATAACCACCCGAAATCAGACGACGGCACTCCAGGGACGACAAGGGTGCGCCAGCTTTTGGATCGACCGCCGTTCGTCCCGCCCCCGCATTGCTTGTTGAATTTGCCGACCAAGGAACCCAGCGCTATTCCCCCACACCGTCAGCGAATCCCCGCAGAAGCGGCCAAAGCTCCCCAAATCGGCTCCGGTGCGCGATCACAAGATGCGGTGGTGAGGTTGCAGCGGTGTGGAACCCGGGCGGCAGTAGTTCGTAGTTCACCGGCTCCGTGATCCCCGCGTTTGTGACGCACGAATCAGAGAGAAGAGAGCTTGAGCTTGAACAAAACGCACACAAGGTTCGGACGGCATGACGGGTGAGAAGGGGGGCTGTACCTGACAGGGAGTTCCCCGTTTGCCGATCAAGAGCCGGATGTGGCAGTTGGAGAAGAGCTTACAGAAGCTTCTGAATGGTGCGCAAGTTCGGACGGACAAGAGCTCACGAGGACCATCTCCACTTGCCCCTCATTATGGAGTATGGTTCAATCTTCTTCGTTCATTCATTCATTTTTCATCTTCTGTTGCGCTGACATGTGTTAACCAAGAAATAGTAAAACTCATCGTTCGTCGATGACGAAAGGCTTCATGCACCTCATTTCCGCGACTCCCAATGCTCAATTGAAACCCACAACAAAGTCCGGCCATGTCCGCTAGCCCAAGGCCGTGATGGAAACATCCAGGGTCTTCCAAGAACACCAACCAAGACATCATGAGCTTAGCACCTGATCCTAAGCCCTCGCCCGGAATTCCACCAACGGACCGTCCTTCATACTCGTAAACGTGTCGAACAGCTGGAACTCCGAAACCCTCCTCCTCCCCTCCTCCAGATCAGCCCGTCCTTCGGCCGGGTCAACGATGCCAACCGCCTTGCGCATGTCGTACAGGAACAACGTGCGAGCGATAGTCGTGGACATCTCAGCGTAGGCGAGGCCCTTGCCGATACATCCTCTCGCGCCGATCGAAAACGGACAGAACGCGCTCTGCGCCCTCGCGGCGTCCTCCTCTGTCGTCTGCCGTCCGCTGACCGGGTTCGTCGCGCCGACCATCCAGCGCTCCGGGATGTACGAGTAGGCCGAGGGGTAGTAGTCCTCGTTGTGGTGGATGGTGTAGTGCGGTGTTCCGACGACAGTGCCGGCGGGGATGTGGGCTCCGTCGATGGTCATGCCGCCGGTGAGGACCTCGCGGGGAAGGAGGCCGCCGACGGAGGGGGAGAGGCGCATGGCCTCATCGATGCAGGCGCGAAGGTAGGTGCAGGAGTTGAGGGTGGCGCCCTGGCGGATCTCCTCGGCGTCGGTGAATTTGCTGCGGACCTCATCGGTGGCTTTCTTGAGGGCGTCGGCGTTGCGGACGAGGTAGAAGATTGTGGCGGCCATGGCGGTTGATGTGGTGTCAGAACCGGCGATGATGCTGCTTGCGTCAGTATGCATTCTGATTAAAACAACTATTACAGGAACTCACAGCAGGTTCGACTCGCCCCAAAGCTCAGGAGTTGAGAAACCTTGACCCGTCTCGGGGTCACGCGCCTTGAGGAGGTAGTAGAAGAAGTCTCTGCGGTCGGTATCCTCGCCCAGCTTCGTTCTCTCCGTCAACTGTCCCTTGCTGTACGCCATGTACCTCGCGCGACCGGCCGCAATAGTCGGGAACAGGAACTTGTCAAGTTTAAGCTTGTCGACGATCGGCATCGTGCCGCAGATAAGATGCCTCTTAGTCGCAGCGGCAACCAAATCCAATGCGAACCTGTTATCCGGAGCCTCGAGCATGTGGAACGCCTTGCCGAACGACAGATCACCAAGGATATCCATGGCGAGGTAGTTACACCAGTCGGCCATGTTCTTGGTGGAAGACCAGCCCTTAGCATCGGGAGAGCCGCCGCGGCCGATCTCGGTGGTGAAGGAGCGCACGTTGCCGAGGATGTAACGCTCCATCTCCTTCATGGCGCTGTCAGAGAAGGCGTGGGCGAGGACGCGGCGCTTGCGGGCGTGGACCTCCTTGTCGCGGGTGTTGTGCGTGTTCGCTGCGGGATGTACGAAGGCGTTGTAGAATTCGGCCTTGCGGACGTTCGAGCGGAATCCGTAGATCTCCTTGAGGGATGTCGCGGAGTTGAAGGAGACGGAGTTGGGTCCGAAGCGCACGATTTTGCCTACATCGACAATCAGCCAGTGTTCTATGATGCCTCGGTGGCCTTGAGAAGGCCTGGGTGCACTGAGCCAGAGTCAGTACGCACCATATTTGCTATGAAGCTTGTGAAAGTCGAGATGGCGGTCACCCTTCCATGCGTGATAAAGCTGGTAGCCATCTGTGACCTTTGCGATAAAGGGGCCTGGGTATTTTGCCAGGGGGTGGAAGAATATGCGGTAGGCGATGATGCCGGCGACCTTTCCCTCTGTCAGCTCCAGTCACATCTTGATGCAGCATCTCTTTTCGGTGATTCTCACGTAGAGCACGCCTCCTACGGCGGCAACGCCTAGCCAGAGCCAGATATGATTTGTCTCCGGCGCCATGGTCACTTGTGTATGATGATATCCGATGTCAATCCTCAAACCTCACCTCCCGGCAGACGCTGAAAGACAGAAGAGAAAGATCACGAGGCCAACGCAAAAGTACCCGAAGATAATACCCGCGGGCCACGAGCTCTTAAAACCAAAACTTCCAGTCCCGTCTTTCCCGTCCGTGCCGGTAATCTGACATCGTCCCTACGCCATGCCGCAAAAAAGTATCTGAACCCTACCTTCGGCTTTCAGCGGTTCTCAAAGCCGAAGGTCTGCCCCAAGCCATGGCTGACCCTGAATCCTTCGTCTTATCACAGCGCGCCCGCCAACCTTCCTGTTTCGGGACTGTCGGGGCACGTAAGCGGCTAGTCACGGGGGAAAGAGACGTCAAAGAACCGCGGGGGACCGCAGATAGCCTGGCTTACCCCAAGATTCACATCGAAGATGCGGTGGGCTGGGTGGCTTTCCCTCACCCCCGCCCCCGCATTCGTTTCGCACTTGGGCATGTGAGCCAACGAGAGACGGTCTGATTACACACATCCCCTGCTGAAAATGGGGAATTTTTAGTAAGGACAATCGGGAGTCTGGGGTTGGGGATGTTTGCTGTGGAATTTGGGGAATTATTCAAAGCCGTGTCGGCTTTCGGCTTTGATGGGGTTTCGAATGCGGAGAGATGTCAGGAATTCCGCCATGGGGCCGCGCTCTGTGCTCGTTTGGCGACGGCCCAAGCTTGTGGGAGCTGAGATGGTGAGCTGTCAGACTTGGTTATGACGCAATTGAGACATTTGCACCTTCAGAATTGCAGTTGTCGATTGTGACAGGACCCGTACGGCAGTCTGTTGGCGTGGGGCCAACAGACAGGAGACTATTAGAAACTACCTTACTTCCCTGTGCTAAAATGTACGTTTCCTGTGTACACGATATAATTATCATTCTCGTTTTCGTCGTCGTCGTCGTCGTCGTCGTCGTCGTTATAACTGCCGTCGTGCGCCATCGCCAGCGCCATCGCCATTTCCAATCGCCTCTGTCTTCGTCACTATGGATTACTACTCACGCAGTGTTCACAAGGCCGCATCCTTTTGTAGTCAATATATTCCTAGCGGAGAATACGGCTAAGCGGCTTGCGGCTTATGAGCATGAATCTTTTGGTGAGATAGGTCATCAGCCCCAAGATCGGACTTCCACCGGCTATCTGGCTTCAAAGTTCCGCGTGCCAATGGTAATGCATGGATTTGATGTCGAGGGTTGCATCGCATAATGTAGTTGTCCCTATCGTAGTCGGTTTTGCGGTTTTCAAAGCCGTGAGGACTGGGTCATTCCCGATGTTGCGATTGAGACCGCAAAGACGACTGTGACATGGTGCCGCCCTTCTGCTTCGGTCACGACTCACGTAACGAATTTGACGAGCGAAAAACACATATACATTCAACGCCGTTTCTATTTGATGCATTCGTTACAGCAATGATGGTCTCTGCCCTCTTCCGTTCTAGGTCTACTCCTTGCCATCTCCCGTCGATATTTCTGCTCTTCAAGGGCTTTTGCAGCTTGGATCCTTTTCTGTTCTTCCTGGCGGTCTTATTTAATTACATCTAGATCGCGAATCATATCAGTAATTTCAGTGCAATCCCTTGTAGTGAGCCAATCACGCACCATTACTCTTGCTAGGTCGGACAAGAGGCAGACAGGACAGGTGTGTCCGTAGTCCGTCAAGAAAGCTTTGCGACTCAAGTAGAATTCGGAGCGTGCCTCATCCTCTAATAACCCGGCATTTATTGATTCGCATGTCGCTTTGACGAGATCATTGCAAGTCGACTTGGAATGTTTGTGTCAATCCTGCATCGTTGACGCCATGCACTTCGGCTTGGTCATCCGCCGGAATTGGCATCAGGTCGTTCATCAGAAACCCGATACAAGTAAGGTATTCACGAGCATCTAGATACAGGCTGGGCATTGCTTTGATGATGGGAATCCTCGACTACCACAGCCGCATCGATGGTGCACGCAATCGAATTTTCCAAAGACCTTAATTCGTTTTTGATATCTGACTGCTGGCATCTTAAATTGTTTGCTTTGCACACCACGCTGGGGTCAAATATTGTGGTTTCAAAATCCGATGTTGTCACCTTTGTGGAGACTTACCATCGTCGGCATAGCTTCCAGCTGCATTCTAATATTACATCGTCTCGAGTGGCGCCGGACATAGACCGGAGCAGAGCCCACACATCTATAAATGAGATTATCTTGGAACTACAAAACAAATATAGAGGCGGATTCCAAGATTATTTAGCAATGGCGCAGAACGTTCGGTACCACGTAAAGAATAATGGATGCACTTGAGCAACGAGCAGCGTAGGCAAGAGAGATACCAATATGCAACTGGCGAACTCCTGGAACAGACACAACTAGCAAGGACGCTTGCAGGTAGAATGTTACCCGATCGATTGGTTTTGGAAGGCGGTCGACTTTCTTGGGGGACAAGGGCGTGGCGCCGAAAAAGTCTCCGCTTGTCGCCGGCGTCACGCCCACGCACACATGCGGCGGCGTCAAAAGCTGACTTGACAGTTTGCCGCCGATACCCCCGCAACGTGGTTGAGTTTTGACTTTGGATAGTATTGACCATCCCATGGTGTGATTATGGCCGCTATCTTCAGACTTGCTCGCTCACTGAGCTGAGCCTATGATTTCTTTCGTCAAGTTCCTTGCATGCCGTCAAGCACCTTCCATTGCAGAATTCAATCTTTTGTGTCAACATCTTACCAATATGGAAAACCACTGGAAGGCAATTTCATCACAATTCGTTTTTGTGCGATTATCATTGAACAACACCTTGAGCCAACGCTTGCCATCAGATGATGTTCGCGATGAACAAATGGTACGGCTGATGGACGACCACGACCATGTCCCGGCGGCAAATCAAAGGAATTCTCCATCGTCGCGCTTGTTCGCGTTCTCTCTGCCCTTATTAGCAACGGTTATTGTCTTACTTCTTGCTTTCACTGGGATTGTCGAACACGCCGTTTGCAGGACGATCCTGGGTGACACACATCACAAGAGGGGCCCAAAGGTCATGATAAAGCCCTGCGGCAGCACGCCTCAAGAAGCGAGGGAAAAAGGCTGCCACTTTGACGTCATCTCTTTTTGCTGGCTCCCAAGTCAATGTTACGATGCAGAACTTTCGCGCGAGTTCGACGAAGCCAATCACCTGCAATGGTTCCTCGACCCCAACCGCACCGAGCCCCTGACCCACGACCAGATTATGACGGGCGAGTATACAGGGCTCTATGTCAACTGGGAGTACCACGTGCGACACTGCACGGCAATGTGGAAGAAGATGCACCGCGCCATCATACTCGGAAACGGACAAGGGGCCAAGGCGATTGACGGATACATAGGAGTGTACGAGCACACGAAGCACTGCGAGCACATGTTGTTGGCGGGGAGGAACATTGCACCCGATATCATAAACACTCGGATTGCCGTGAAGTACCCCGACTGTGGCGTTTAAGAAGTAGCCAAACTTGTCCTTTCGGGGTTCACCGGAGACACGGCTGAGCAGACATTCTAATCGGTATAACCCTGGCCTGAACGGCTAATGTACAAATACAATTTCATCTTTCATGCGATCTGAGCAGTCACCTAGGAAGTAATGTTTATAGTGAAGGCCAAAGTGGTAGAAGATTGGAATCGCTCGCGCAGAGCGCAGAGCGGCTGGAAAAACATGATTGATCTGTATGTCATATGGACAAGACCACTTGAGGGAAACGAATCGTAGAAAAGAGCAAACAATCTGACTAATGCGTATCTGACTGCACATCGAATGACGTGGTGGTCAGTTCGAGTGTATCCTGTAAAGCTCAGCAAACTGACCATCTCCCGCAATCAGTGAAGATGGCTCTCCAGTTTCCAAGACTTCGCCGTCACCAAGAAGCACCACTGCGTCGTACCGCGAGACGTGCTTGAGCCTGTGCATAACAGCCAGAACAGTGCAGTCACGGAACTCGTTGTCAACAATATCCTGCATAACTGCCTCAGTCTCGCTATCAACACTGGGTAACGATAATGTCAGCGTGACCTTTATACTGAGGACAAACTTTTCACGAATGCTTACCTGCTCATGGCCTCGTCTAGAATTAAAACTTTGCACTGCCGAAGCATAGACCTAGCCATGCAGAGGAGCTGCTTCTGACCGGCCGACCAAGCTTTATCGTCCATCTCTACGTCCAGGCCGCCTTGCTCTTGAACATGTCTAGAAAGGCTAACTCTGTCGAGAGCTTTGGTGATCTTTGCGTCGTTGTCGTCGTCGGAAACGGCGCTCAGCGGATCAATGTTGAATCGGATTGTTCCCGGCATGAGAAAAGGATCTTGGGAAACAACATTGATGCAAGAACGAAGCTCCGATGGCACGAGAGTTGATATGTCGACACCATCAACCTCAATCTTGCCTTCTCTGATGTCTGTCATCTGTAGTAGGCTGAGTACAAGCGACGTCTTGCCGCTGCCTGAGCGACCACAGATTGCAACGTGGTGACCGGCCTTCATCGAAAGCGATACTCCCTTGAGTATGGGTTCGGCGTCAGGACTGGCGTAAAATTAGTTCCGAGACAGAAAAAGATGGGGGAAACACTTGAATACTCACCCATAAGACGCCACAACGTTGGAGAAATTGACAGCCCCGCTACGGGGCCAGTCCCTAGATAGCTGTCCCTTGCCAGCACTGTGTTCCGTTTCGGTCTCTGCTACGAACCGTCTCACTCTTGCAACAGCCCCCACGCTAGACTCAAGTTTAGTCCAACTCTGGATCAGGCGTGCTAATACCTCACTGAATCCAATAACCATAACAAGGCTAACACCAACGCTACCAGCACTAAATTTATCATACCAAGTAACAACTACGCCCACGAGGACGATAGCAAGCACAGCCACAACTAGGTTAAGCACAACCGTAAGCCACGCTTGAATACAGCTTTGAACATAGCTTGGTTTCTGGGACAAGTCAATACGGTGATAGTTACGTTCCTGGTACTGGGTTTGCCACCCAAAAGCGCGAATAGTCACACTTCCAGCCACGGATTCAGAGAAGCAGGTGTAGAGGGGCGCCTTGGCTTCGATCCCCAGAAGACGGATCTGGCGAGACGTCTGAAGGTAGAAGCGTTGCAGAAAATAGACGACGGTCGCGATGAAAGGGATGGCAATGCCGAGAAATTGGGAGAAGACGGCGAGAATAACGAGCTTAGCCAAGACGGATATGGCCGCTGCGAAAAACTGTGAGCAACATCGTATATTCGTGTGGATGTCATACTCACTGGAAGTGTAATTCACAAGGTTGGAAGGCAGGTCCATGTCCAGAAGCTGCATGTCTTCACTGAACCTGCAAACGACCACAAATTAGCACCTCATTGCAACGAAAAATTACTCAATGTGACTTACCTATTGAGAATCTCGCCATTGTCGGTTGTGGTCAGAAAACGGAAGGATGCACTGTCCCGCGAGAGGTATACGATTAGTCCTATCCCATATATAATATGATGCGGTACAAATGAACTCACGCCATGGTAGTCTTGAGAAGGTCTGAGTGCAGCTTGAGAGCCGTATTGGTGATGATGTCGAGGAATGCAAACCAGGCAGCTAAAGAAGCTCCCACAGTGCCTAGGACGCCAAACACGGCGTACACGCCCAAGTAATACCCCACACTTGTGTTGGCCTTGGCAGAATTGGCTTCAGACCACCACTTGACCCAAACGGCTAGTTGTCGCATGAAATTGTCAGCGGCAGTTGACAATTTCCCCCAATATTGCAATGCAAAGTTTTCGACTTACTAGAGAACTCTGAGAAGAAGATCCACATGACGACTGAAACTGAGTATAGGGTCACTGCCCTCCAGCCGGCATTCTTCAAATAGTATGTGTAAACTGCCTTCTCCCCATTCTTGCGTCGGATATCGGTATGAGGCCTTTGTTCTTGGTGGTTGTCGTTCTCGTTGGTTGGTGTGGCTATCTGCTCAATGGGACTCACAGAATCATCAGACTCTTGTACCTTCACACCATCAGACGACAACTTCAACCCTAGCCTGCTCGTATAGCCTTGACCTCGCACGAGGGCTGCGGGGTTGCCGAGTTCTTGTATCCTGCCATCATTGAGGCAGATGATGAAGTCGGCGAGGGCCATTAGTTCATCTGCAATCTCATCAGCAAGCCCATTTAAATGTCACAAGGTTAAGCCAAAACTCACGGCTATGCGTTGCGATGACGATCGCTGCGCGTTGCCTACGCAAAAGACCATCAGTGCCAAGCAGACAGGTCGAGACATGCTTAGCCGTATGGGCATCCATGCCACTGAAAACATCGTCAAGGACAACGATCTTCTGCCTCGAGTAGACAGCCCGAGCCAGAGCCTTAACGGGGACAAAGATGGGATGTTAGCGTAAATATAACGTTCAAGAAACATTTTCGGCCACTTACGATGCGTTGCTTTTGGCCGCCGCTTAGATTGACACCGTTGCTGCCAACGAGTGTGTAGTCTCCCTTCTGCAATGCTTGTAAATCGGTTTCGAGACCGCAGGCTGAGATAACAGCATCGTACCACTTCGGGTCGTAAAGTGAAACGCCGAGTACATTTTGCCGAACCGTTTCGTTCTCAAGCCACGGGCTCTGTGAGCAATATGCTACGCCACCTTTATCAGGAGGGTTTCCGACGGCTGGACCGGCAGTAGGAGGAGACATGGGTACCAACTCGCCCAGTATTGCGCAAAGGAAGGATGACTTGCCGCTTCCCACGGGACCGATAACAACAGTCACCGCGTTTCGAGGGATGTCAACGGTAAGGTCGTGAAGCACAGCCTGATCCTTCTTCCATCCAAAGCTTTCCTCTTTGAAGGAAATTGCATGGAGCTGTTGTGAGTCCGCAAACTTGCTGTCGCCCTTGTTTGTCAATGGAACAAGATTTATATCGGTTGAAGACGGCGAGGTGAAGGTGCTACTTTGACTATCGAGAGTTGCAGGTCGGGGGCCGTAGTTGCAGAAGTCTTGGATGCGGTCGAAGCATCCAAACGACTGGACAATCATTGGCAGTAGCTGTATGAACATGACAACGGGCGTGGTCAAGAGCCCAATCAATGCGATGGAGGCAAAGGCCTGGGCGGGTAAAAGAGTTTCGTTCTTCCAGAAGACTGAGATGATGACGTAGATGGCAAAGGTAACAATAGGAGCAAGATTAATAGGGGTGAGCGCTGGGGTTGCCCGTCAGGAACTACACATTACATCGCCGCCGAAGACAAGAGACTTACAGAGCAACAAAGTGGCCACAAGCAGCTTGCGGAATGACTTTGAGGTATTGATTTCGTTAGTCCGCAGTCTCTGAATCGTTGTCGACATAATATCTGTAAGCCCGAGCATCTTCACAGCCTTCATCTCACCAAGCACTATCGTTGTGACACGAAGACGTTCCTGGATCTTCTCGATCCACTCCATCTGGGCCGTTCTGCTGGCTACAGAGATCTTCGACATTATCGCGATGAAAACTAGGACACAGTCTGGTCAGCAAACTCTATACAGTATTTGCCGCGCATCACATACCCAATACAAGGACTATCGGGGCCAGGCAGGCGAGGGATAGTTGCAGTCCTAGAAGCCAGCTGGCAACAGCAATATCAAGTAGCGAACCCCACGTCGTATGAAACATTGACATGGCGCCAAAGATACGTTCAACATCTGTCCCCATTAGGGCTACCGCCGTGATATCTCCAGTATCGACGTCTCTTGTGTAGACAGCTTGTTGGTAGACAAGCGCGATTAACCCTCCCCGAAGCCTAGTCGTAAAGCGAAGGTTATGGTACTGGTAAACCGAGTTGCTAATCGCGATGCCCAGGTACACCAAAGCCCAGGCCCCAATAAGGCCTCTGCCGTAGCTAACGTCTTGGTTGCCGTTACTCACAAAAGTTACGGTCGATTTGATGAGGAATGGTTGCGCGAATGTAAAGACTGTCAGGCAGAGCCGGGGAATAACAGGAGCCAGGAAGGGCAAAAGATACGCCCTGAAGCAAGCTTTAATGAGACTATGGCGACTTTGGTGGTCGTCTGATAAAGCCATAAGGTTAGCAAGGGGGCTGCGGGCTTCGTTAGGAACACACCGACGTAAAAGACGTACATTTGTCCCATGCAACGGCCAAACTTTGGTGGAGAACGCGACTCTCCATATTCGAATCGAGACCTGGTAAGTCGCTGAGGGATATGATTTTGGAATACCCCAAGTAAAAAGTTGTCGCCAACCACGCAAAGCAAGTCCTCGACCAGAATCCGCTGCTCTGCTCGGGAGTTGCATGTTTGCCGTCGGGAGGGGTACCGGGCGCGGCAAGTCTCTTCTTCGCCTCGATGGATTCTAGCACGAGCACCGCCAGTGTGAAAACCAACACGACTGTGGCGATGGCTGGCAAAGGGCCGCGTACAGAGATAAGCCACAGTGTACGGATACGAGCAATGCCAAGTATGATGGATGCCGAGAGATAGATGCTGAGCAGGGTCGAGGGTCGAGGCGATCTTTGATGGTTTAGGACTGAAAGAAGCAAGACGGCAAGCGTGGCAACGGGAGTCAAGACATCAGCGGCAATGGACGCAGGAGTTTGGTATGCTGAGGTCTGGCAGCGCAAAGCCAGGAAAGCCCACTGAAAGGCAAGAAGTGTAACCGTAGCCACCTTGCAATGGGAGTTAGTCAGACATGTCGACGGCGAGACAAATTGACGGCGGTTTTCAATTGTGCGGCTGGACATACCAACTTGCTGGCCAAGAGCCTGGATTGAGTTTGGAAAGTGACTGGCTGTCGAAGCAGCTGGACAACTCTCGGTGGGACAAGCAGAAGAAAGAATGCAGATGGCAAGCATGAAAAAATGATGTCTTCAAACTGTAGAGTGAAGTCAAAGGAACGGCAACCTGTATGGACTCGCGGCCCGTACGCCCAGTCGCTGAAGTTCGGACAGTCCATATTGATGATTCCCAAGATCAATATGTGCACATCAAGACTTCTTTCCCAGAGACTTAAGCGCGGTAGACACTAGGTACACAATGAAAGGAAGTTCATGACGAAAAGTTCGGAGATATGTCGAAATGTTGTTGGAACAGAGACGTTGGACCGTGACGCGTGTCTAGTGTGCCTGCCTGCTTCAGACCCTGGGGATCACTATCAGCGTTGTACAGGGGCAACGTCAACGTCGCGTTGGGCGTGCCGCCTGGTGTGCGACATGCTGATACATGGGTCAGACCCTGCAGCTTCTAACCTACTTCGGTAGGTAGGTCTGTCTTGGGTCGGGCTGCACCTGCGCGGGCCGGCCAGGCCAGTCTTAAATATTTGGTGGTCTGTCGATAAGGGAGGGTACATCAATAGATGCCAGAAATTCATGTTTGCGTTCTAATAGTTTTGACTAGGGCTGTGGTATCAGTGATGTGTGCTGTTTTGTCATACTAGGGAAACCCTCATGGGGAAGAAACCTAGATGCTCATGTGTCTCGATGTTTGCTTTTTATTCAGAGCAGCCAAGCACACGTACAGCTTGATAATCCTGCCGATCAACCTCCCGACTTTCCATTGTCTTGCCTCGCCATCTTCCCTGCATGTCTGCCCTCATGGCCTGGACGATTATTCTCGTACGTCCATTGGAGAAAGCCTTTCCAACTATTTCTCTCTGTCCAGCTGACCACCGCGTCAAAGCTTTTACAGGTATGTGTCTCGAGAATGCCGTAGTCCTCGTAGTCTTCCGTGACACCGAGCATGAGATCAGCGTTGCACATTAGCGACTGCCGCAGTCGATTGAAGCAATGGAGGGAGTGCATGTCCGATGAGCTCGTGTCGTTGGCAAGAAATCGCTCTCGTAGACGTGTCTGCAGAGTGAATGGTAGTCAGACCAGAACCAAAACTTTGCATGTTTTTTGCGGACGGCTAGGCAGGCTTACCAAACAGTGCAGGTTATGGAAAACGTCCACCTGATAAACCATCTCCCCCGTCACCCCCGGAGTGGGTGCGGAGGGGCGGAAGCCGTGAGCTACGGCCCACTCGTCGCTAATCGATACGATGCCGTATTCTGCGTTGGTGAGCTTCGCTGGCTTCGCTCCTAGTGGAAGGGTTGACTTGTCATACGCAAGTAGATTTCATCCCATGGATCTTGCTGGGAAATCAACCCGGGGTCATACGTCTCATCATTAACGTACACCCAAGTTTCGCTGAAATCGTGGAGGTTGAAATCTATGTGCGAGGAAACTCAGCTTCAGCCAAAAGAATACCCCGTACAGAGTGTGTTGGGGAGTGTAGGCGGCCCACAGTCATCTAGGGGGTGCAAGCCTGCGCTCTTGACGACGTCCAGGAGGCGAGGTACCGCCAAATACAGGCAGAGGTTTGCAAACTCCACCGCCAACAGCCAGAGCAATATTTGCCGAAGGTGTCCGTGTTTCCGATTCCCGACACAATTGCTTCTTGGCTGGGCGCTGCAGTCGTCGCCGGCCACCAGCGGAATCTGTTCAGTCTCGTCTTTGCTGTCCATATGTGTTGAGTTCATGGTGGTGTTTCGCGAGAGGGCCCGAAAACCATCCACCACGACGTAGCTATTCAACGGGAACGAGGCATTTTGTCTGTCCTCATTCAATAATCATCTACGCAAAACCGGACACGAATGGTACTATTCTTCTGGTTTGTCGACCGCAAGCAATATGACGGCGGCAAATCTGGCGTGTCGCTGTTATGTGGGCTGGGTTCCACACAGCTACTCTTCTCAATCCCTGCTCCCTATGCTCTGGCTCCCGCTCCCGCTCCAGTCGCAGCGCTCCGGATAAGGACCGAGAAGGAAGGTGAGTGTGGTCACCCCGGCCCCCGACAGCTTCCCGCCTACACGTACGAGTAGCGCCAACACCACAAAAGGCTATCCGTACATGTACCGCGGAACGCTCCGGTCTTATCCTGAGACCCTAGTTGCATTAATCAGAGGATGGGATGTCTGTCAACTAGGTCCCGTTATCCGTTCCGCCCAGCCACTGTAAATCACATTCATAGCGTGGCACAACCCGCCACAAGTAGGATATGGCTGGACTCAAAAGGCAGAAGACCTGGCCCACAGCTGGATATACAATGCGCGGTTAGGGAGGTCGTGAGGGGCGTCGTGTTGGAGATTTCCATATATGTATGTACCTTGCTGTATATTGTGCCTCGGCTAGACCATTTGGCTATCTGAGAGGGGTTTACGCGAGTGCTGCACCACTGTGGCGCGGCGGCGACTGATGCAGGCTTCAATCAACAGCGACCGACGCCGTCGTCGACGAACAATGTGGTCCGATTGGCTGGGAGCTGAGCAAACAACCAACACAACACTGCATTCATGATGGCCGGGTTGTTCGCCCATCAAAGACAAAGATTGCGAGATGCAGGCGGCACAGCCTTTGCATGCAACAGTATGCCAACAAATCTGAGATACGGGCATGACGGACGGGAAGGCCCTATCCGCAATGACTGTGAATGGGATATGTGACCGATAGCCAATGGGAATAGGAACGGTTCTCGCACATTTGCTCCCCACGGGGAACAGACCTGTAATATTTATGATTTATCCCACGACTGGATTCGACTTTCTCACGGGTGCCTCTTGTCTGTCCTTCATTCTTGCAATACGCCCACTAACTCGGCTTGGCATACGACTGATCATCGTCTTCTCTGGTCAACGAGACTGTCAACCAAAGCCACAACTCCTCTTGTGGGGCATGAAACTCAGATACCTGTTAGCAAACAGCGCCATCATTGGATGCCCGGCCGTCCCTATCCTAGAGTTGGTTTCCACGCGCGCCCGCCAACCCCGTCCAGTTCATCAAACGTTTCGAACTACCTTACTGGACTGTTCTGCATCAAGAGTAAGGACTACCAAAACAGCCCACCAGTATGTTGGGATTCCGGGAACTCTGCTTCCCAAGAGACGTGTGGCTAAGACCTGCATAGTGCCTGCTGGTACACGAAGCACCCAGGGGTGCTGGACTTGTCGGCTAAGAAGGAAAAAGTGTGACGAGACACGTCTGGTGTGTCAGACATGCACAAACCTTAGCATAGCATGCTACGGGTATGGACCTCGGCCTCCCTGGATGGATCGAGGACCACTCGAGAAAGAGAAAGCACAGAGCATCAAGCTTGAAATAGCCCGCAGCGGCTTCAAGAGAAAGAGACCCCGCCTGTGCAGCACAGCTCTTGCAACCGGCGTCGAGGGGGGCTCCGATGCCGCGTCCGATAACTTCGACAGACCCGTCACCCAGCCTGGTACCGCACTTTGTTTGTCCAAATCCATTCCGAAAAGAACCCCGACCACCCTGGATGATGTTTTCGACGATGATTTCAGTCTTTCCAGCACACCAATGCAGCAGACGGCGAATAACACGATGGCCCAACAGATGAGCATGGTTGTAGGTGAAATTTCCACATCAGAGATTTTATCGACCGACGAGAGTGAGCTCGACCAGTGTTCTCTTCCGGTCGATCCTCTGCTGCGTATAGCCTACGAATGGGAGAGTTCAGAATCTACACTCGACTACGAGGCATGCATGGAGATTGGGACCTTCCTTCCCATGCAAACTTCTGAGTCTTTACCACAGGCTCTCCACAGGCTCAGCGACTCTGTGCCATCTGACACCCCATCCTGTTACTTTGGCACATCATCAAGAACAGATGACAGCAGTTCAGGTACAGCACCTGGAGATATTCTGCTAAGCGATGCCATCTCTTTATCAAACTATCTTGAGGAAACACTTTCAGCACAATTTCCCTTTCATCGGGTTTCCAACATTGGCTGCCGACAGTGGCTGGAAATCCTGCTGTTCAGTTCAAAGCATGTGCTCAAGGCTACGATACTGCTCAGTGGAGCAGCTAACAGCGTAAGCGAGAACCCATATCTAGGGCAGGAGAAGAATATCGGAAACCACATGTTCCAAGCCATGAACATACTCAGGTCCCTTCCATCCGCAACCTCATCTTTGTCTCTGCTCGATGAGAAATTGAAAGCATATCACATCATCTCAGCATGCACCTGTGTGATGCAGACAGTATTTCTTGAGGTTTGAAGGCCCATTATCTTCACCTGACAAGCACATATACTCATGCAGGATTAGGTTTATCTCGGTGAAACTGCACACTGGATGGACTGCCTGGAGCAGGCAACACCATACATGCAGGCACTCATTAACCTTGTCTGTTCAGAAAACGGAAGCGACAATACATCCAAAAAGACGCAAAATCCATTTTTTCATTTTCAAATGGATGCAGCGAAGGTCTTGCTCAGTCAGATGGTCTGGTTTGACATCGTCGGCCTCGTCTCCACCGGCTATGGGCCATCACTTGGTACAAATCACGCTTTTCTCCTGGAGACCAATGTTTTTGATCTCAAAGAAACCTCAGGATGTGAAAATTGGGTTGCGAAGTCTCTTTATGAAATCCACGCTCTTCGAACATGGAAAGCGGAGGAGGTCGGTGCCCAACGGTTGAGTATCATTGAACTTGCCGAACGAGGAGGGGCGATCTTGGATATCATGAAACAACGCATTGCTGCAATCGAAGTGGACCTAATGCCCCATACAGAGACACAGAAAAGTTTGAACGATGGTGACGAATCAGCTGGGGTTGAGCCTCTAGAGCAAGATCTCAAAAAGCTCACCATGGCCTATGCTACAGCTGCAGTCATCTATTTGCACGTTATCATCTCTGGACCAACGCCTCTTCTGGAAGAAATACGACAAGAGACTCCGCGCCTTGTTAAGTATTTGAAGATACTTGCACGTAGGGGTTTGCTCTGTCATGTATCGTGGCCTCTCTGTGTGGCGAGTTGCTTCATGGAAGATCACGACTTTGATTTCTTTAAGGAGTTTGTTTCGATAAATCGACATTCAAGGTCCGAGCGCTTTGAAACTTGCGAGAGGGCCATCATGATTGCACAAGAATGCCGCAAACAACGGCAAGATGGCAGACGCTGTGACTGGATCAACGTCACACAAGAGCAAGGCTGGAAGTTCTTGCTTGTATAAGACAGTTGATGCAAGACTCCTCCATGAAAGCAATAAGAACAGGTGTCAACGCTAGTGATAAAGTATGTTTGTGACCATTCAAAGCGGTCAGACTGCAAAAACGAAAGATTCATGTTGTGGTTGTGATGCAAGTTCTGTTTATTAGTGAGTCACGAAGTCAATCAAAAGGCAAAGCGAGTTCCTTCCCAAACCAGCTATTCATCAAGTTTCCTCAATTTGGACTATTTCTTTTTGACTCACGCGAGCCAAAAGGCTTGCTGACTTTTCTCCGTCAAAAACAAAAGACGTCCAACATGGAATACACAACAGTAAACAACGCTGATAGGTCTCGTGTACTTTCAAGTGCTTCCTAGAGTATCAAAGTTCAAAATGCACCACTGACCGTATCTTATGTCAGTTGATCTCACATGTAATTGAAACGGTCGATCGGAATTATTGTCATTATCAAGCATACTTGGATGCATAAGCCCAGATCTCATCCCAGTTCTTGCATTCGTGGGGATAGTCCAATCCATCTACCACAGCACGTCCAGTATTTTCGGAAACAAATTCGAGAGATGTGTCACCAGAACACTGGACAGCCTGCCTCAGATAGTCGAAGCAGTGAGCGATGTGCCAAAGACCATGGATGGCCTGGTCATAAGTTGGTGAAGTGACATTCTTCGGCCACTGTTGCAGCATTTTCTTCGCATCCACCTTATCGTAGATTACGTCCCACATGAACTTGCGCAATGCACCCTGTAGAGATCAGCCATTTCGAAACATCGTCGAGCGTTGATGTAGGCAGACCTACTAGGCAATGAAGTTGATGGAACACAGAAAGTCCTGCAATTTTGTCGGGGAAGTCAAAGCCGGAGTCGGCCTCCAAATTTATAAACCCACGACCGTTGGCTGAACGCGAGATAATCAGCGTTGATGTAGCGCAATTGTTTCTCTCACAGTCATCGTGGACTTACGGCCTGGCAAGCCTTCCCAGGCCGCGTTACTCTCTTCTGATGGTAAAGAGAGAAATAGAGGGTCGAGCTTGAATGTTCGAACATGTTGTGAAACTGTAGAACGTCAGCAATGATACATTTTGAAAGTTGGGCGGTGATTCCGAAACACACATTGGGGAACTGGAGATGGGAGCAGGCGCTTAGTTCTTTGGTGGGACCATATCCCGGAATACAGAGCGGCCAGAGATAGAAATAATAATAGGTTGATAGCCAGAGAGACGAGGAGCTTCTTTCGCGAATAGCTCGTTTTCGCTAGCATGGACGATTCAAGGTGTATCTCAGCCTCGGAGTCATTGCTATCACCTTGCTTCAAAGACTCGTATGCGGTATCATTGGCCTTGCGTTTCGACCAGGGAAGATAAGACGCCATACTTGAAAGTTTAAAGTGTGGAGATTCCACCAAAGAGTGTTTATAAGGCCTTGCGAGTAGACTTTAGCAAGCAACCCAACAAGGCTTTTCATATACTTTTTCTTTTGAAAAGTCCAGGGTACTTTTGAAGTTTGCAGTGTCATTGATGTTTTTAATCTTATCGGGGAGAGTCACTGCACACTTTCATGCAGTTGCTGGTCGCGCGTCACGCTTATCAACTGCCGCCGACTTGGCGCCACGAACAACACAGCATCCAATGGCGCTTTGCTTAGGTAGCTGCGGGACGCGGCGCCAAGCCGGCGGCAGTCCATCGCGACGCCTGCTAACAGATATCGAATGAATGTGTTCGGTGTTCTTTTGTTGCGAGACTAGGGGTTTAAAGGAAAACTCCTTTGGCGGTATTTCTATTGCTATTGTAATAACGCAATGTCTTTTCGCACGTAGAATTGCATCGTCTGGAACTTTTGGACTCGGTCTGACGTCTTGTTAAACCGCGCAGCCCTATTCGGTCTGATTTCACACGGTCCGCTGTGCTTGTGCCCTCATTGCGATACCTTCATTTCATCCAACCACGAGATATGGAGAACAAGGCACTGGATTTGGCGTGGACTGTCTGGACATTCGTCAGGACTCGAGTTGGGTCGATACCAAGCGACTCAAGCACGCTTTACAGAAATGTCTCCTCCACTGAAGCCGACCTCGCTTCCCAAGAGACCCTGTTTGAGTACAAGGAGGGTTCAAACGACAGAACTTCAATCAGGTCCGGGCTATACAAGGGATGTATTTGGTCCACTAAGGCCGCGTTCCTTGTCTCCTATATATTGCTGGCGTATCTTGTCTTCGTCACCAAGGGACCTAATCTATGTGTCCTTGGAAACGAAGGTAGGTGACACTATCCTGATAGCACTTCGTAGATTACAAGACTGAAATCGAGTGTTACCTACTCAAGCAATTTTCGATGATTCGCCAGTCATCTATGAGACTGTTCGGTTCCAGCGTGCCGGCTTCCATGACCGCCGTCATAACACGAACACTCTATACGAAGGACCCCCAAACAAACAGAACGAGGCCGCATGGGATCGTCTATTGAGTGGTAAGTAGTTTCGGATCAACAAGGACTGAAAATTCAAGAATCCTAATTTTCGATAACTCAGTTGGTGTTGTCGCCATCTCAGAGGAAGAAAGCTCCAGGATCACGAACGGCACTGCTTCAGCGGTTGGGGATTCCAAAAAGCACATTGTGGAACTTGAAATGTTTCACCAATTTCACTGCCTTGTGGGTATACACCAATATTTTGATCATTACCAAAAACGATAATTGCTGATGTTATATACAGAAGTGGCTCCGTGATCAGTTCTGGCATCTCAACGCAGCTGTCACGGCATCCCACAAACTCGACGATTTTCCTCAGCGAGTAAATCACACAGGTACCGCCATTTTCTTTCAATGATTTGAAATAGAAGACCAGCTAATATAACGACAATAGACCACTGCATTGACTACCTCAGGCAGGTCATCATGTGCCATGGCGATATAACACCCATCACGTTTGAGTGGATTCCTGATATTGACGGATACATCGCTCACCACAGCACCGAGCATATGTGCCGCAACTTCGATGCCATATTCGACTGGGCTGCAGTTAGAAACACGACTGGCCTAGAAACAGACGGGAAGCATCAGAACAAGGAATTGAAGCATGCAGAAGATTTTGATTGATGGGCAAATTCGGATCTCTGCTCCAGAACGTAGTCGTGTACATCATTGATTTTTCCTCCAGCCTTCGAAGTTTCCATTTCAGTTAAAAGCTATTGTAGCGAGGAAAGTGTTCGGAGACCGAACTCCTTGAATAAATGGCTTTCTTTGTGAGGTGTCTGTTCTTCTTGTGTTGAACAACCTACAACTGGGACTGGGCGTTGCGAGCAGGTCAGGACAGCCAACTGTGGCACGAAGCAAGAGCTTCGATGATAATGCCCTTGCATCATTTTCTGTTGTTCTGCACTATGGATTATGACGGCCAGCCCCAACTGATTGGACCGTAACACTGGAATTGAGGCTTGAGCCCTCAGAGTCCCAGCTTAAGTTTGAATCGCTTTCTATCCAAATCACACATGGCTTTTCGCCCCCGCCTCTCATGCAGTTCTACCATGAAAATGCAATGATCTTGACATGCAGATGGCTGATGTCCTCCATCGATGCCGCGTTGGTCTCGGCGTCACGCCCAAAGAAAGTCATGAAAGATCTTAGTGGCCAGTGAGTTCATTCTATTTGGAGGAAGGTTTCAGGCGTGACGCCGATAACAGAATGCACGGGGCGATTTCTGCAGTTCCAGGATGGACGGTATTGGAACAGTCTCCCTGGCGGCACGCCCGCTCTTTCCGCCGATCGGCGGCATTTCAAACAGTTGATTCGATTGCTTGTGGTCAGTTGAACAATCTGGGTTCTTAGACCAAAGTGTTGATCAAAAACCGGGTATATTAGAAGTGACGGGATAACGGGTTGGATAATTTTGCACACAGGATCGTCTCTAGCACAACAACAAACTGCAAACCCCGAGGTTCTCCAAAACCAGTGTCGTCAAACAATATGCAATTCTTCAAGCTTCTTGCTCTCTTCGCTGCGGCGACTGCCGCCGCCCCTGCACCGGCCCCTGAACCTCAGGCATGTATCGCCGAAATCGAGGAGAACGTCGCTGAGTCGGCCGCTGTCTACAAAAGATGTGCCTATAACTGGATTAGACGGGATGGCGTCTCTACACGTCAGGCCTGTCTTACAGAGCTCGAAGAATCTGCCGCCGAGGTCTCCGAGAAGTACAAGCGATGCGCTTACAACTGGATCAAGCGCGACGAACTCGCCGTTCGGGCACCTTTTCCTCAGGCCTGTCTTACTCAGGTCGACGAAGCCAGCACAGAGGCTGATGCCGTCTACAAGAGATGCGCCTACAACTGGATCAAACGCGATGGACACAACCTTTCTGCCCGTCAGGCTTGTCTCACTGAGGCCGATGAGGCTGTTGCCGACGGTTCTGAGAAATACAAGCGCTGTGCCTACAACTGGATCAAGTGAACCGCCCCTGGTAGGAATTTCTGCCCGAGTATACAATAGTTGGAGAGAAATCCCTTTGCTAACCTTGCACTTTACAAGGTAACTGATTCCATAGACAAAGGAACGAGCAGGGGCTTCACGCTATGCAAGATAGATTCAACCCATTCCGGATGTATCGAGGGACTGCAGCAACCGATGGACTCAGGTTGTCTAAAGAAGAAGATGAAAAAGAGGGAAGAATCTGGCAAAATATTACACTCTTTCAATGATGATTTTTGTTGTCCGGTCGTCCATATTCTTCGCAAACGAGACTGCTTTGAAATTTACAACACTCTTCCGCATGATGTGTCCCTTGTTCCATCCGAAATCTTGGCAGAGTAACAGTGGGGTGCCAGCCCGGATAGCTAACTGACACTTCCCCCAAAAGGTCTTTACATGCTTCAACATGACTTCCTAGCAGATTCGAATTCCAAGCCTTGGGTCAAAAGATGTGCCGAGCCGGCCAGACCAGGCTAGACCTTCGGCAGCGGCCATAATATGGGAGAGGAGGGCAGAAGCCCTTGCTGGGGGTGTTCTAGGGTTAGGAACAGCTTCTTGTCACACTGATGAGATCGAATCTCCAGCTGGGTTGTAACGTCGTCATGGTTACAATCGTGTCAGTGTGGAAGAGTGTGATTACTCTCCGGGAATTGTTGAGATGTTGGGCAAGGTACATGTGTGAATGAGAACAACCACTTTCTATGTCCATATGAGCATGTAACTCTCGTCGCGGCCTGTGGAAAAAGGGACTATTGCATTTTCCTTCGCCTACGTCTACGCAATGGTTCTTTACATTTACCCAGGGACTTGGTGGCTTGCCTGTGCTCTTCACCGAGAGGGACTGGAAAGAACATACGTCGAGACGCCGGATTTGGCAGGTGTGGCAGGGCGACCACCCGTTGAGTAAGAGTCTTTCCATGTTCAAGTTCCCAATATCTATTGCTGTACTGACACCGAATTTCCAGACTACGAGATGAGGTTGCAGATGCACCAGGATCACAAGTCCAGTAGCTTGGAGAGTCTTCGGCCTCCACATCTCGGATGTCGACGTGTCATTGAAGACATAATAGCATGTTGGCCCTCATATCTTCGCTCGCGAGGTTAGAAAAACAGATGAAAGGACAACTCGCCCACAGTCCCAATAGTAACAATCCCAATAGTGAGAACAGCACTGTGCCACGGGAAGCTGCAAATGAGACTGCTTAGGCTAGCCGTGTGTCAGCGGCTATATTTCTGTGTCATTCTATGTGGAGTTATGTCCCGATTAGGCAAAATAGGAAGCTCTGTCTGAGGAAAAACAAAGGTTTTCCTGCAGCCATATAAAGTATCAATGCATTGCCTCAAAATATTACCAGACTTGTGAGTATGCTTGGGCAATGCAGATCACCCGCAGGCATCTCCACCTTAAAAAGACAGCTCCTGGGAACGCAGTAGCTGTTAGCGACTTGCCTCCGGCGATCCTGACTCCCCGGGATGACGTCTTCGACGATAACTAGTTGAATACGCGTTTTGATGGATATGTCGTCGCATTCAAGGCAGCCAAAGCCGCCACGGCTCTGCAGGCTGAATTCTTCTAATTTCCTTTGAGCAGGGCATTGAATAAGGCCAGTGGGTTGGTTGCATTTGCCTCCTACCATGGCTTGCAAACAAAGCAGAGTCCAGCTCAATACTCCATACAATGCATGCCCATTCCGTAGCTCATGTGATGAAACGCGCGTACAGACCTTGCTTGTGTCGACAGCCGAGCCCCCAATGCTTCAAACAGCCGACCCAGGGCCCCGGAAAGGCCTTCTCTTTGTCTGAAGTGACTGTCCGTATGTATACTAAGCAATACACGGTCTTCCACACAGCCAGGCGTTCTCTCAGATAGGTTGCAGTGAGGACACCTAGCCCAGCCTGACAACTTCGCAAGTGTGCTTGCTTCTCGTAAAGGGCGTTGTCATCTCATTAGGCAACGTTGCCTGCAGTCATGATGAACTGGGCAGCATACAAACTTCGGCAACGTATATGTGTGGTCGAGGTGTCCATGATTTTCTTGGGCTGCTGTGTTTCTTTCGCGCATGCCGACGAACAACTCAAGTAGTACCACCACAATGCGATCTTTCCTTCCTTTTGGTGTAGGCATCTTGGCCGCCACGGTCTCCGCCCAGTTCCAGAACATACCCAAAAGACCGTGCCTACGGCTACAACGTTGAACGGAACATACTATAGAAGTAAGTGGGGAATTACATTGGAAGTTTACTCGAGCTTTGTTACATTTTGGATAAGGCGTGGCTGCCATGAGACACAACTGACAGACGTGAATAGTTCATCATTCGATCTGGCATTAGGACTTCTTTGAGGTTTATTCGACGTGAATGCTACCGAATTGAGCCGCTCTGGGACGGATAATTTCCGCAGTGAAGCCATGCCATATTGGATTGATCTCTTCGGCACGAACGAGTATCCGAAGCAAATTGGTTACCAACTCGTATATACGGAAAGATGAAACCTCAGAATTGAACCATTGCATTGTTCCTCTTACTCCATTATTTTATGGAGTTCGGATTCTAAATGTAGCTCTGGCATTCTTTTCCTCGTGAGAACCCTTTGAAATGACCTTCCAAACCCCGTACCTTCTTGACTCAAAACATGAAAAGAAATCACCATCAGTTGGCAAGTTGCCAACATGCCGCGAGCAATTATTGTGGCGATAACTCATGACTTAGATCGAAGCACAAAAAGAAAGCGATTGACCTATCACAGACGTGCCCACCGTTGAGTCGTATTGCCAAGATCGCCAAGTCTTGGCACATGAGAACGTTCCTGGATCAGGCAGGTCGCGATACGACGCTGATGAAGCCAGCCTCTCTGATCTTTTTAAGCTTCCTTATTGAGCCTCTCGTCCCGGGATAGCGGCGCTGCCCAGATGCTCGTGGCAATGAACTGAGTCAATCGATCCTGTCAACCTTGAACCTGGGACTCCAGACTCCCGCCGGGTTTAATTTTGACTTCCCGCGTCATTGGTTCGTGGATCCAGTTTACCGTTGAAAGCCGCACCACCGCGAAAGTGCCAGCATCATCAGCTTCCTTATCTATTGCCTTGGCGCGATCACGCGAGATGGTGCTGCATGCATGTGCGACCCAGTTGAGGGGCAACGCTCCTCGCACCACATGCTTTGCGCAATTCGAAAATGGGCGCTTCTTCGTTTTCCTGTGCCGTCATTGAAGATGTCGGATTGGCCAGAATTCTCTGTCAACCGCAAAGGTGAGGTGCGTGCCTAAAGCACCCTGGTAGAAGGCAAGTCGACGACAAATACAAAACCAGAGCCGTCCCGCCCCTCTTGCCCTCCGCCAGGTTTTCCTCACCGACCATTCACCAACCGCCCAACATGAGAACGGCCGCCCTCACTCTCGCACTGCCGGCCCTGGCCAGCGCTGCCAAGTGCAAGCCCTACGTCGACTCCGAGTCCCTCCAGGAGCTGATCACCATCGAGGACCTCCTTGCCGGCTCCCAGAAGCTCCAGGACATCGCCGATGCCCACGAGGGCAACCGCGCCTTTGGTGGTGGTGGCCATAATGCCACCGTCGACTGGCTCGTCGAGGAGCTCGAGAAGCTCGACTACTTCGACGTCTACAAGCAGCCCTTCACTGAGGCTTTCGCGGGGTCCAAGGCAACTCTGACCGTGGCAGGCGCCGCCGTCGATGCGCGACCTATGACCTTCACGCCTGCTGGAGACGTCACCGGCGCCTCTCTAGTCAACGTCCCGAACCTTGGCTGCGAGGAGGCCGACTACCCCGCCGAGGTCTCTGGGGCCGTCGCCCTTATCTCGAGAGGAACCTGCAACTTTGCCGTCAAGGCCACCCTGGCCAAGACCGCTGGTGCTGTTGCTGCCATCGTCTACAACAACGCCGAGGGCGCTCTGTCGGGAACTTTGGGCGAGCAGTCGGATGCCTATGCTCCGGCTGTCGGCATCACCCAGGCCGAGGGCCTCGCTTTCGTTGAGAAGCTCACGGCTGGCGAAGAGATCACCCTTGACCTCAACGTCATTTCCATTATTGAGGACCGTGTCAACTACAACGTCATTGCTGAGACGCGTGGCGGAGATCACGACAACGTCCTCATGATCGGCGGCCACTCCGACTCTGTTTTCGCCGGACCTGGTATCAAGTAAGTTGTCGCTCCCTGTGTTGTCTCCATCACCCTTGATTGTTCGTGGTCGTCCTCGTCGTCTTGGTCGTCGTCTTGGTCGTCGTCTTGGTCGTCGTCTTGGTCGTCGTCTTGGTCGTCGTCTTGGTCGTCGTCTTGGTCGTCGTCGTCGTCGTTCATGGTCGTACCTACATCTCCCATCAATGTTGTCAGCATTCCTGTCGATCACATTTATTGCTTGCCATCTTCACTGTCCACTACTGCCCTCTTCCCGAAACCCGATTCACGATTCATTGCTAACCATTCTTTCTCCAGTGACGACGGCTCCGGTACCGTTGGTGTCCTCACCGTTGCCAAGGCCCTGACCAACTTCGAAGTCAAGAACGCTGTCCGCCTCGGCTTCTGGGGCGCCGAAGAGTACGGCAAGCTCGGCTCCTACTTCTACGTCAAGCAGCTCAACGGCTCCGAGGAGGAGGTTTCCAAGATCCGCGCCTACCTCAACTTCGACATGATTGCCTCCCCGAACCCCAAGCTCGCCATCTACGACGGAGACGGAAGCGCCTTCAACTTCTCCGGCCCTGCTGGTTCTGATGTCATTGAGAAGGACTACGAAGAGTTCTTTGAGAGCAAGGGCCTGGGACACGTGCCCACTGAGTTCAACGGTCGCTCGGATTATGCCGCGTTTATCGAGAATGGCATCCCCAGTGGTGAGTTTACCCAAACTAAAAGTCCGAGGTTGGTGGATCTATACTAATGATGCATCGTAGGTGGTCTGTTCACTGGCGCTGAGGGACTTAAGACTGAGGAGGAGGCCAAGCTCTTCGGTGGCGAAGTTGGTGTCGCCTACGATGTCAACTACCACCTGATTGGCGATGACATCACGAACCTAGACAACGATGCCTACTTGGTCAACACTCAGGCCATTGCACACAGCGTTGCCAAGTACGCGATGAGCTGGGAGACCATTCCCCCCGTCAGCCAAAAGAAGCGCAGATACGCCGCCGACGTTGCTCGCCACCTCAAGCGCGCTGCGGAGCTGACCGGTCACTCTCACGACGGGCCTTGCGGTGGTGGCTCACACTTCTAAGCAAGTGGAAGGACGAGTAATATGAGTAGCTGAGCATTATGACTAGGGCAGCATAATTCAAGAAGAATCCATAATGAGTTCATGAGAGACTTTCCATCCTAAGACTTCGTGCCATCAATTCGCCAGAGTACTACTCGCAGCATGGATTTGTAATCGCTTGTTCTTGTTGGCTCCTCTGATCTTCTAATGATTTCAGGCGGGAAGGACACATGGTTAGATTTATAGTATACTCGCGGCCCCCTGCGTGAGAAGATAATTTTACTCTGTTCTCCTCAACCTTGGAGGATCCATGCTACTTAAGAGATACCGACTAAAATGGACTTCACTGCCATATATTCGGTGATTCCAATCGTACCACCTTCTCGCCCATAGCTGCTTTCTTTGAGACCCCCAAAGGCACTTTCGCAGGCACTCAGGCTGCCAACGTTGATGCCGACCATGCCAGTATCCAGCGATTCTGCGACACGCCAAGTGCGAGCAATACCATCAGTTATAGCAAAGCTTCCGAGACCAACATTCGAGCTTTTTGCCATTGTAATTGCTTTTCTTTCGTCTTCAAATTGACATAGCCCTAGGACGGGGGCGAACACTTCCTCACGAGTCGTGATCGTTTCCTGCTTCATGTTGGTTATCAGCGTAGGCTGTGTAGAATTCCCCCCCAGCTCAAGGTAGCGAAGAACCTCTTAGAATGACATCGCCGCCGAGACGTTTTGCATCTGTCACATAGTTGACACTTGACAATACCTTATGTTCAGAAGTAACATGACCCAGACCTTTTATGTGTGACAAGACCTTCTGTAGCCCGGCTTGATGCGTCAATGGCCCAACGTTGACACCTGCTTGAATCCCAGGGCCAACCTTGATGCATTGCATCCTTTCTTTCACCTTCAAAGAGAACTTGTCATAGATGCCCTTCTGAACAAATACCCGGTTGGCCGTCACACAGGTTTGCCCGGAATTGCGAAATTTCGCGAGCATCAGAATCTCAACCGCCCGATCAAGGTCTGCGTCATCGGATACGATGAACGGGCTATTACTGTCAAGTTCGAGAGAGAGCTTTGTTCGTTTGAGCGTTTGACGGCACTGCTGAGCAAGTAGCTTCCAGACGCGGGTGCTCCCGTTGAAGCTGATCTTCTGGACCTGTTGGCTTTTGCAGAATGCCTCCCTGGTGCAAGCAGGGCAGCGACGTCTAGGGGCAGCTGGATAGTCAAGATGCGTGGTCCGGTGTTGGCTGCGGGGACGACTTGGCCGTATGTCCTCTCCGCCTCGCCGGCAAACCACTCGAGGAATGAGGCCCCATATGTCATCTCCGCTCTAGCCTGGGCGAGAGTCTTGCCGTTTTCCAGCGTTAAGATCAAGGCTTAGTCATCGATGTGGTCAAGGCATAGCTGATTCCCCCGTCGCAATGACCGTGCTCTCTCTCGCGCTGAAATCTGGGTGAAAGATGCGAAACATTCGTACGCTGCTTGAATGGCTTTACGGGTATCTTCAGCCCCCATCTCGGGCAGGGTTGCCAGAGTCTCCAACGTTGTCGAGGTGATGACGTCGAATGTCTTCCCATCGATCCCCGAGATCTGTTGTCCACTCACAAAGCCGTTGTTCTGCAGAAGATCCCTGCGGGACAGGTCAGACACGCTTTTGAACTCCATATTGGCGTGTCCTCTTAGAGTTACACTGTCAAACCGCAAGTGTTCTTGCGGAAGCAATGAGACCGCCTCGGTGGGGACACGCTAACCAGCGAATCGAGCGCGAAAGTTCAAGTGGGAGCTGTAAACCACATGATTACTCTAGACGTTCAAGAATGTGAAGAGTTCATCATGAGATAAGGGACTATCTCGAGCGATGATGGGTTTTCCCGAAGGTCGTATGACATCTCAAGGAAGTTTTGAACGATGTGGACCGTTGAGATTCATTACTAAGATATTTTCATTACCAAAGGCCTCTCCGCGTCATGTTAACAAGCCCAATATCCGAGGGGTAGAAAAGAGTGAAGAGGCAGCGGGAGGCCGGCTCGTCGGAAAACGTCATCGCAAGAGAAGGAAAACGCAAATTTCCGCGTAGTGCTGAGCGGACCGCATCATGAGATACGTTCTAATTATTCGACAGACATTCGTCACATGAATATTTAATGCTAGTGAAGGAGCTAGATGAATACGTTGGCCATTGAAGGACTAGGTACAGTGTGATGCTACTCGCCGACCGCTCACAGCATCTACTACCAATACCTCAGCAGTACGGGACTAAATAGCAGACGTAGGTCATACTGACTTGCATCGCATGTTGGGTCAGTATCGCCCACGGTGACAGAGGCCTCGAGACAAATTCAAGGACAAAGCTCTAAATAAACCATAACTACCTTATCAACGTTGCTACAATGCACAATGCTATTTGTAAGAAAGGTTGGATTTGGTCATCTTTGAGTCGATGAGAGTACACCTTATGTGCCAATTTTCTTTTTCCCCCCTCGACTACGCGGCTAATGATTCGCTGTAAAAGAGCCTTTAATCACAGGGCTCTACACTAGAATATCGGGTTTTCAACTACAAATTTGCAGTGTCGTTGACGCCTGGGAGCTTGCTTGGATATCCGCGATAGAATTAGGTGACGATTTGCTCTCCGTCAAGGTCAAGGTTGGCAGGCAATAAAAGTCGAGCTCCTACGCCACCATGTCGTTCCGGTGCGACCGGATCACCCGCCGCCCGAAGATCCCGCGATCCGGGCGACCGGGGGGGCCAGGTCTAGAACAAACACGTCACGATTCAGACCCCTGGTGCGCGTACGACTTACCAGTAACGACCTCTTTTGCTACACTTTTGCTTCCCTTTGCTACGGATACTTGGCACGACCTCAGTAGCGAGACTTGGCAACATGAGCACCTAATGAAGGATCAGCGCTCTGTGAAACAGCTGGCTTACCTGAGGTCCAATGATGCCCTGGCCCCTGTCGACGGGTAATGAGCTGTCATTAGAGCCGGTGGGCCCGGGACCAGCCGCCCCTGCAGACTGCCAACTGAAAGGAATCAGAGGACTCCAAACGGGCAGGCATTGGTGCGCCCTCCAGCCCTGCAGTCGATCAGGGGGAGCGCCACGCTTCCTTATCAGTTGCCCACGGCACAACAAGCTTTCCTCTTCCTGCATGGCTAATCCTTTCTTTCTCCCATCCGAAGTGCCGGCGCATTACGGCAGGCAGTCAAGACTGACCTCTAACGACCGAATTACTCGAGAAGCTGTCCGCGCTTTTGTTTGCTCGCGTGACTTGCGCACAACATCACTACCGCTGTGGTGAGCATCGGCAGCGATGGCATGGCAGCCATGGGAGAAGTTCAAGGCCGACCACCCCGCCACGGCGGACCGCATGATTGAATCATGGGCCGCCGTCCGGCCGTATCTGCCTCCGGTCAACTTCATCACAGTTCACTACGCCTACTTCATACTAGTCGGACTCATCTTTGCCGGCATCTTTCACGGAATCTCGAACCCGGCCAACAGCGTTAGCTTCATCGATAGCCTTTTCCTCGTCATCTCCGCCTTTACGACATCCGGACTCAACACGGTCGATATCAGCAAACTCAGTACCGCCCAGCAGGCTATCATCGCCTTGATGATGATTCTTGGCAGCCCCGTCTTCGTCTCCATCTTCACCATCTGGCTCCGCGCCCGCGTCTTTGAGAAGCGTTTCGAGGATATTGTCGAGGCCGAACGAAACAGGAGGATCAAGAAGACCGGCACCATAGTGGGCATGGCTGGAGCCATGATTGGTCTTCCTGTCATGTCATCCTTCAAGGGGACCAAGCGGAAGCAAAAGAAGGGCAGACACGAGCGGCAGGCCGAGGCAGACGCCTTCCAGCTCACGGGGTACAAATCCCGTGAGAAGGGCCACGACCGGAGCCAAAGCCAGCCCACCAATCAAGACTCTGCACCACACGGCATGCTGGAGCCCATCGAGGAGGGCCAGAGGCTCAACCTCTCCACCAGCTCTACCGAACCGCTCTCACCCAAGTCGAATGCCACCCCCAGGCGGAGGCCTTTCAGCCGCGACTCAGGCCGAGTGTCGATTTCAGAAGGCTTCGATTTCAAGACGTTCATCCACGAGAACAAGACGTCAATCGGCAGAAACGGCCAGTTCTTCGACCTCACGGAGGAACAGCGCGAGTACTTGGGTGGCGTCGAATACCGGGCCCTTAAGATTCTCTTTACCATTGTCTGTGTCTACTTCGTCCTCTGGCAGCTGCTTGGGGCCATCACGCTAGGTGCCTGGTCATACACGCACAGCCAGAGTATCACAGCCGTCAACTCTCAAAACTCCTGGTGGGCTGGCATTTTTCTCGCCATCTCTTCGTTCAACAACGCTGGAATGACGCTCCTCGACGCAGGCATAGCAGCCTTTGACAACGATGCCTTCGTCTTGACCATTGTTACCATCCTTTCTCTGGCTGGAAATGCTGCGTTCCCTGCGTTCCTCAGAGCAACCGTCTATTTCTGCAGGTTCGTTTTGAAGATGTGTGTTGATGAAGACGAGCACGTTGTCTGGAAGGAAGCTTTCGACTTCATCCTCAAGTACCCTCGTCGTCTGTACATGATGATGTTTCCTGCCAAGGCTAATTTCGTTTTTGTCACCATGTTCTCCACCATCGCGGTCATGGACTGGGTCTTGTTGTTGGTTCTCAGCATCGGCAACTCTCCTATCGAGGCATACCCGGTTGGGAAGCGAGTTGGACTGGCCCTCTTTCAGGCACTGGGTAAGTCGCTAAAGGCTCTGTTCTGGTCTAGATACTAACCCTGTTTTAAGCTATTCCCTCCTCAGGTTTTGGGGTTGTTGGGGTGTCGAGCCTCTACTTCGACGTTCTGGTCCTATGGGTCATAGTAATGTACATTTCCGCATATCCGGAGATTATCGTCATGCGAAACTCAAATGTAAGTGTGGTTCCGAGTCTAGCTGAGGCATGTGCTTTTCACTAATATGGTTCAAGGTGTACGAAGAACGGTCGCTAGGAATCTACACCACGGAGCCTGAAAAACCTGAGGATCCAGACGCAACTGCGAACGAGTCAACAGATGAGCTCCTGCCAACCTTTGCTGAACCGGCGTTTGGCCATGCTCTTGGCCCAGAGCAAACAGCAGTTTCCGCATCGGGCGTGTCATTGTCACAAGCAAAGTCTCACTTTTCCACCAAGCCTGTCAAGAGGATAGCCGCCATTGGCCGCCGTGGCACATCATTCGTGGGCAAGCAAATCCAGAGCAGGATGAACAACTTCCAGGGCGTGGGTGTGACGGCGAAGCCGCGGCTCAAGCGTTCTGCTGCCATAAATTTCGACAACCCGAACACGGCCTCCGCCTCCACACCCGAGGGCCACGTGAGCCTCGTATCGCAGCACCTCCGAGGGCAGCTGTCGCACGACATCTGGGCCATCGCCTTCTCGCTGTTCCTCGTCACACTGATCGAGACGTCTCATTCGATCGCGGACCCGCGCTCCTACAGCGTCTTCAACTTCTTGTTCGAAATCGTGTCTGGGTACACCAACATCGGACTGTCCATCGGCCTGCCGGGCCACTCGTTCAGCTTCGCCGGTGGCTGGTACACGGGTTCAAAGCTGGTCATGATCTTAATGATGATCCGTGGCAGGCACAGGGGCCTCCCGGTCGCGCTAGACCATTCCGTCAAGCTGCCTGGGTGGGATAATGTCAAGAAGCAGAATGAGGACGCTGAGATCAGACGGAGTATAAGTAGGAGTCGAACTGGGTTGACGATATAGACTTTTTAGATAGATTTTACCTGTGGACGGGCGGTAGACAAAATAGATCTCATTTCACGCTCAAGACTACAAGGGTCATGCTGCTCAGTTCCTCCCCGCACTATTAGCCAGGTATCTCGTGACTACACGGTCGAAGATGTGGATGTGGTGTACATACGCCATATATTCTTCCTAGGCCGGGCTGGCCTGCCTTCCAAATTGCGGCAAGGTTCCTCGTAAAGACCATGAGGGCTCGAAGAAGCAGGTTTCTTTTTATAAGTATCGTATCAAAATCTCCTATTCATGTTCGTCACGTTGATGATGATGAGATGAGATTCATATCAAAAGTGCTTTCTGATGAATACTGCGATTGGCCTCGACGTTAGTGAGGACCAGCCCAAGGACAAGCCACAACAAGCCTTTGCTTAATGCCAAGATCAAGACCTGAGTACGGGAGCTCGTCAAGAACTCAGAAGAGGCGGCACTTAAAGGCTATGTAGACATTGCATAAAGTACCAAAATTTCCCTGCGGCGTCGAGAAGTTGTTCTGATCCACTGTTTATGGGCCAAAACACATGTAAAGATCAATTCATCTGAGTTTTGCTATCCAGGCGGATACTTCTAGCTAACTGGGCGGATAGTAAGTACGACGGTAGGGACGATCGACGACAACGACGACAACGACGACGATAACAATAGGGATAGAGAGAGACATAAGGATAGCAACAATAGTAGTAAAGGTTAATTGAGATGAAATAAACCACTAAACCTAATATACTTTAGATAGGTAAGGTAGTTAACAATAGTTGTCCGCCCACATAGCACGACTTATTGATTTACCTTCTGCGCTAGAGAATTACGAATTACTGCTGCGACATCTTTGCTATACACCACCTTTCTCAAAGGCTGCGTTTGATA